ATGCATCAGGAGGTGTGGGTAGGGATGGAGAGAAATTTGTTCCATTTGTATTTGAATACAAACTTACCTAATTTCACACATTCAAGCCACTATCTGAATCAAAAGTCAGTCTCCTTTGAAATTCATAATTCTCTAAATTTTACAATTGAGTTTTCCAATTGGAAAAATGTATATATTTGTGAAAATCACATTCAATAATGCATTATATTAAGCTATTTGTTTGAAAAATGTGTATGTTGGGAAATTGTATGCAAAGATGCACATGTAAAAAGAAATGTATCCAAAAGTGTACATTTAAAATTTTATTTTAAAAAATAAAATAAAATTCTTATAGTTTGAGACAAAAGGAGGTGGAAATAATACTCAGTGCTTGGGATAAATAAGATTTAATGCAAGAGAAGAGAAAGCAAAATTGACAGATTCATTCATCCCTGTGTGCAGTAAGCTGACCCAAAGGCAAAGCAATGGTGTTCTGAATTGAGTTTTGAGTGAGCATTGCAGGTTCCATGACATGATGCTTGGACTACTCAGGAATTAGCACAGGATGAGCTCAGGTGCCATGTTTTGTAGGTACCATATGAACCCACCAGGACCAAGAATCCAGCCAGAATGTGAAAGTCTGTATTGGTGTTCCAGGAGGGCCATAAGCCACCAGTTTAAGCCAAAGTAACCCTTGGAAAGTAGAGGAGGAATCTCAGAAGTATCTGGATGAGCACTGTGGGAAAGAGGATCCTGCACTATCTGAATTTTCATCAGGGCTATCATCATCATCATCACCACCAATCATCATGTCATGTCATGTCACAGTGCATCTGGAGTTCCTAGTGCCAAGCCAGATGTTTGCAAAGGGGATCTTCCATCTGAATTTGAATTGTGCTTGATAATAAAAGGTGCAGGGGTGAGAAACTTCATTCCTGGAGGAAGGCATTTTTTTAATTGTCCTCAAGTAGGGCTGCAAAGTGATGTGGTGTTCATTCTAAGCTGCATTCTGGATGTGGGAAATGATAACCCAATAGCTGTTACTATGTTGACTCCTGCCAGGGAGCTGCCATTGGATTTTCCCAGAATGCCATTCACAGCATAGCATACCTCTGGGGTACTGTTTAAATACCACCAGCCTGGGAGGAATTTTGCTAAGCTTTGCAACCTTGCCCTCACAATTCATTCTCCCTCTTCCCCAAATGCCTGTCCCCTCCAGCCCAGTTTAAAACAGAAAGATGCAGACCCTTCCTGATTACGTTGACTTGTATATGCCTTGACTGTTGAAAGTTGAGAAGCAACCTTGACACTGAAACTCTGAGCCTAGAAGATACTTTTCCCTTTGACACATTTCATCGACTTCTTCCAAAGTTTATTCGTTGCAATAAGGTACATTTTGGCCACTCACTTTACTCCTAGATAGATCCACATTAACAGAATGAAGGTTAATGCCAAATTGCAGTCAGCCACATTGCCATTGAAGGAATGCTACGACATCAGATGCTAGAAAGGGAGTCAGATGCTGCAGCTTTAAGAATGCAGCTATCCATCTTAGTGGTGACCATTGCATAATCTGCCCGCCACATTGATGCGATGGTAGTGGTGGCTGCAGCAGCATTCTTACCATTCTCTTTATTTAGGATGCTTGAGTGTGAGTGCCAATGCTTCTGCAGCCAAAATGGTTGCAGACCTGGGGATCCCCCAAAGTTTGCACCAATAAGTGCACACAAACATTTCAGGGGAATGTTCTTAAAACAGCCCAATGATGATTGTGTTCAACTGCAGTGGGATGTTGCCTGTTGGGTGATGAGAAGGGAATAGGATGGAGCTTCATGGAGGAAGGCACAACTGACTGAGCAGAACAGAAAATAGGAGGTGTCCGGACTGTAATATTTTGTTGCAGCAAATGATTCAGTGGCAGGAAAGACAAAATCTGGCAGGAAAAATACGGCGGTGGTTTGGGTATCCATGTGGGCCACACTGAAGGTCTCCAAGGGCCATCACATATCCACCAGTCCAAGCTGCTTGCTTTAGTCCTTTCAGCAAATTGATATTTTAATTCATTACTAAAATTAAAATATGATATTTAGATCTGCGGTCTTTGACATTTCTAGAACTTGAATCCTTTTTTAACTCCTATCTTCCATGTCAGACTTTTCTAATCCATCTTTCTTCTGTTTCTCTTTCCAGTTTTCCGATGTCTTCCTCCTCGTGCACCCCAGCCAGATATATCGCATCAGCTGCCGACCCACAGCAGCCTTTATTTTTGTTTGCTTCACCTCACACAAATAATTCTTCGGTCATTTTCCTCTTTTGTACCTATTTATTCTGAAAATTTGACCCCCAAAAGCTTTTTTCTTAAAAAGATAAGAAATTTCCATAAGAAAAAATAGATTTTCTAAGAAATTTCTCTTCAGCTTAAATCTCTGATTTTCAGCACATACCATTTTTCTGCTCAATTTGCCTGCTAAATCCATTAGGCTGTCTACTAATAGTGAAGCATCTTCAAAAGTCTTGGCCTTTCCTATTGTTTTTATTGTGTGGTCATGATGGTTACAAACATGACTTTTTAAAAATATTACTGATCTATGGAATGGACACACCTAGATTCTAAAATCCAGAAGGAGCACACATCACATAACCTATTGACTCTCAGTTCCTCTCAAAGACCAACTCACACAGACACAATCCTCCTTATATTTTTTAAGATTTTTGCATGGAAAATTTATCCTTTCTCATGGATGTTCCTTTTTCCAAAGCATTTATTTGAAAATGTCCCTCATTTATACAAATGTCGCTTCTGGGCTTTGGCCCACATTTTAGAGCCCAGAGGTTGAAAGCTATAGTTTACCATGCCCTGGTAAAGACACATGCACACATTTATATGCTCCAGTAATTGCAGCTTCTAAAAATTGCATTGTATATTGTGTACTCTTGTCCTGTTCCTGCTTCTTTTTTCCAACCAACGTGGCTCATTGCACTTAGAACAGTCATGGAATTTTGCCTCCCCCCCCCCCCCCCCATCATTATCATCATTTTAAGAATATGCCCTTGAAGTCTGTAAAAAAGAAAGTGTGTGGCTAATGAGAAATCAGCCTTTGGATTTTTCTCTGAGGTTCTCAGAATCCCTTTGAGTTACAAAACATCTTTGCAATTTGGGTTTGAGGTCTGCCTATCCATACATCTGAAAAATTAATAATGAGAAGTTTAATGAAGTCAGGGACTATTAGTTTGTACGGAAGATCAGAGTTTGGGGAGATTCCTGGAAGTTGCTGATGTTACAAGTGGCAACAGAAGGAGAAAATGTCTGAGTTTTTCAAGATTTCAGATATACAGCAGTACAAATAAAGGGATGAGTGGGATTGTGGCAAACACTCTTTTCAAAATGAAAAATGTGTTTTTATTGTAAATCACTCAGGGAGCTTTAATTATTTGGCAGTTTCAAATTTAAATAAATAAAACCAATTAAAAATAAAGTTTTTGTGTTAAGCTTTTTAAGTGTTTTGTTTTCTTATTTTTATTCTGTTTTTAAAAAATCAAGCAATCATACAATAATGTGTTGTATAAATAAACATTCAGATGTGTTTTATCCTGCTTATACAAGGTGGAGGTTCAAATCTGTCTATACACATCCTTAGAGGCTCGCAGTTCTGAATATAGGTGAACTATAGAAATTAGACAATGAATTAAACATACAGACAACCTCTGGAAATCCATGGTTTTAGATGTTTAGAGACACCAAAGCTGTTGTAATAAAGTTTTTTTTTACTTATCTTGCTTTCAAATGAAATTTATCTACTATTATCTAAGTGCTCTTAAGAGTGTAATCTGTCATTCCATTACTTGATTGCATTAAACTCACATTGTCCCAGTGATTTCTATGGATTCCTAAGAAAATATATTTGAGGTGCAGGTGAGAGCAAAATGAACTTCATAATTCTATATGTCTAGAACACAGGTGTTCTGTAGAGAAACACACAGAGATATATACAGAGCAGCATGTCCACTGAGATTCAGATGGAGCTCCCATGCATGAGAGAATAGGGAAGTCTTTGAAGATCAAGAAACCCTGTCCATGCATTGGAATTCCTGACCCCATAAGAAGTTGCCTAATTGGGGAGATATTCCTTTCCTCTGCATTGTTGCCCAATCTTTCTTTTGACCCTTTATCAATCATTTCAAGGAATCACTTTTCTTTATTATTATAATATTTAAGGAGAAGATATTCTCCAAGTCATATTTTAATGGTACACCTTAATAGTTGCTAATGTTAGATATACTTTTTAAACATTTATATAGAAGTTATTCCAAAAGAAGAGTGAGCTAGATAGATATAAAATTAAAGCAAATAGCAATATAGAAAGGATTAGATATGTAGTAGAAGCTTAGATATGTAGAAGAAGTAGAATCCCAGAACCTATTTTCTTTGTATTTTAAGAAGAAAAGATGTGCAGATATGCACTTTACTCTATACCACCCTCTGGTGCTCCACCTTCACAGGTGCTTTATTAGATCACATAGAAGCTGCAAATTCCACCTTACAATTTCCTTATCTTGCATGCCTCCAAAAATCTTTTTCGACATCCTTCTTTTTCCAAACCCTCCTGTAATTCCTATTCCCCCACATTTCTTTACTCCTACATTTCTCTTTATTCCCCTTCACACACACACACACATCTCAGTTCATACCCCATTACATTCCTCCCTCTTCCTGCAGAATGTAGTGCCAATCTAGAAGATCCACTGGTTTTTGGAAGAGAGGCTAACAGGGTCCATTCTTTTGTGATTGGTTCGAAATGGGCTTGGCTTTGCTTCTCAACTTTTTTGGGAGTGGGTGCTTGTGTGCGTGTCTCTGCTTGTCTGGAGGGAGGCTGGTCTTTGCTGATTGGCTAAGGGGCTGGCCCAAGATCCCCCCCACAGCAGTTAGAAGCAAGCAAAGAAGGGATCCACCTCTGGGACACTGGACCGTATAAAAAGGGAGGCTAAGAACTTGACAGAGTCAGTAGGAAGTTTCTGCTGGGGTCTGGAGTGGAACTACATAAATCAGACCGTCCCTGTATGACTGGACACTAAAGCAGAACCAAGGATACAAAGAGTCTTCATGTCTAATATTTAGACATGTTCAGCTTTGTGGATTCCCGGTTACTGCTTTTGATAGCAGCAACTGTTCTACTCACCAAAGGCCAAGGCGAAGAAGACCGTAAGTACAGCATACATACATCTTAAACCATTTTTATCGTAGTCATTTGAGAAGAGGGGAAACTTTCTCTGGTATTTTCGTCTCCCTTCTTTCTGTTGAATGCAAAGCTATTTCCTCCTCCAAATCTAGCAGTTCAGAGCAAGGGTCAAACTATTTTTGCAGAATAGTTTGTTAAAGGAGTGATGTGGGGGGGATGTTATGATTTTGTAATCCGTGCTTCACTGTAATTGTAATTCCTGCTGCATGCAGCCATTGCTCTTAAGATGTAGAAATAAGATCCAGGGGGGAAGTGCATGACTTATGTTGTCTTGAGAATACTTTTTTTTTTTTTTAAAGTGGAAAGGGTCAACACATGTTCGTGACCTCCCAGAGATGTCTGGGGTCGGCATGAATGCAGGGGGAGAAAAGGGACTTAAGAGACTGAAAAAATGAAGTATTTATTCCACCAGATTTCTCCTGGCTCTATGGAAATGTTCTATAGAGAAATGAACCACTTCTGAAAACAAACTTACCCAGCTGTGCGTAGCCTTGGGCATGCTTCCATTGGTCTTATGCTCTTGTGCTCGCTCACTCTCTCCCTCTTTCTTTTCTTAACATGTCCCTTGGGGCAAAGCAACAAGTTGGATCAATTAGAATATCTGCCCTGCCTTGCCAAATTCAGCAAAGGAGGGGGTGGGTGAATGGGTAGGTGGGTGGAACTCGGGGTGGGCTGTCACTGGAGCAGGACAGGAAGGGAGAATACAGAAAATGATGGAAAACTCATTCTGTATTCTTGGAAAGCTAAGGGGGTACAGGAGGGAGGAAAGGGTAGGAGGACAAGCCTATTTTCCTTGTTGTTGAAGAAGCCTGCAAAAGCCATCAGGAGAGTATTAGAAAGAGGAGTTGCGGGGTGAGCGGGGGGAGCTTCAAGATGATTCATAAGGAAAACGTTTCAGCAACCTATAAAGCATAGAAGTCTAGACATCACTTCATGGACAAAGCCTTTTGGAAGGCAATAGGTTTGGAGGGAAGAACGTACTCCGGCCACCTAAGTCCAATGGCAACATCTAGTGGTCTTCCTGAGACTCACTATGGCTTGGGCTGCCGAAGCAGTTATATGCTCTTGGTTGGGGAGTGGGGAGTGGCCTTGAAATGGATCAACACTGATGTAAGTGGGTCTATTTCCGGGGTCAACAACAAAACATCTTTAGAGAACCACTCCCTGCCCATTGGAATAATAATATTGATAATAACTCAGTGGAGAGCATATGTGAGAGATTATCTTGTGAGCTAGAGACATTTTGCTGCCATCTAGTGGCTGGCATTCAGTTTTCCTGCAATATCCTGGGAAGGTATTATCAGACATGACTTTCATGTAAAATATTTTGACTCAAGTTTTATTTCAGTTAATCCTTTAAATTGAAATATCAGATTTTCTTTCTTTTTTCTCACTGCTATAGTAAACCCACTATCCATCCAGTGATCTTGGATGGAAAACTTTAACAGGAGTATTAACAGAGAACTGAATTTAAAGCTAATAGCAGGGAGTTTTCAAAGAAGCTAGCCTTAGATTTAGAAGACATAACGTCAGAATGCACAACCCTCCCCCCCCCCACTTTTAAGTGAAACATGTGAGGAAACATTCCTTAGTTCTTCCCAACCATTTCTCTGCAGTGTCTCTCTCCCTGTTGGCACACTTGATGAAGCAAGCATGAAATATTTGACATCTGTAGTGCTACCAAACTTTGATTTTTGAACAAGCTGTCATAGGATTTGAGCCTAGATGAAGACTATCAGTCTTGCCTTGTGAACCTGACCTATCATAGTTCACACCTGCTGACTCTGCATCCTATGAAACTGTTTGCACTGGATCCTATTTCCTAAGGCTGATGTACCATCGACAGGATACAGTTTCTTCCCCTGCATGGGTTCTCCTTCAGTCCAAATTCCTCACTCTCCTTGCTATCTCTTTTCCTTTCCAGAAGGCTGAACCTCTTTCTCTTGTGTGTGTGTGTTTGGCTTGGCTTCAGCTCCAAACGTTGAGGTTACTAGTTGGATGTAACAACTGATCGGTGGTTTTGTTTAAATTCCAAAGCAACTAGAAAGAGTTATTGTGGGGCTGGCTCATTTCCTGTGACATAGAATTTACTTAATGAAAAGCAGATGAGGTTTTAAAATGCATGAACATAAGTGTAAGTGCAGAGCAGAGGGAAGGGAGGCCAACAATAAAAAAAAACCCTTAGAAAAATAGATACATTATCCAGATTGAACCACCATGACGGGTTCTACTATTTGTTCCTTTGTTGTTTCATCTGTTCTATTGACACTGCTGGCCTCCAAGCAAACTTTCTTCACCCCTTCACTTATGCACCTTGTTTCTTTCGTTGTCTTTTTCTTTAGTTCCATCTGGAGGATGCATATATAACGAAGTAACATACAATGACAAAGATGTTTGGAAACCTAATGACTGCCACATCTGTGTGTGCGACGCTGGAGCCGTCCTTTGTGACAAGATAATGTGTGATGACATCTCAGACTGCCCCAATCCTGTACAAAGCGTCGGCGAATGCTGTGCAACCTGCCCTGAATCTGGTATTGACTTAAACTATTTTCTTCTACCTGCCTACCAATCTACTCATCCCATCACAATTGTCCAGAGTTCCCTCCATCCCAAAATCATTTTTCAGTTCATCCTCCCACTCTGCCACAGCTCTATCTGTCCACAGGAGAAACTGCCTGTCCACAACTGTACTTACCCATCTAGTCTTGTCAACTTTTACTAATTCACCCATTTGCTTTCCCACTTCTACTAAAGCACCCAAATCTCCATCTAGATTCCTATTTCCTCTTCTCTTATCTGCCAGCCAATAACCATCTAATAATTCATCCCATTACTCATCCACATATAGATTCATCATCTAATGATTCTTTTCTAATTCCATCTACCAGCTACCTATCCACTCATTCATCCATCAGTCTGTCTCGTACCAGTTATCTGAGATGTTGCTTTCATTGCAAATAACAATGTTTAACAGTTGCCATGGTCTAAGCCACAGACCTAATTGTTTTCCATGGTTCTGTACTTGTTTGGGATTTAATATAAATATTTGTCTAATTAAATTTGTGTCCATTCCTTGAATGCATGCAAAAAGTTGGCAAAGAAAGTGAAACCTGTTGAGAGAGGAAAACTTTTAATAAAATAAGAGTAGGAGAAGGCCTTTCAAGCTATGCCACTGAAGGCATCTTAAGTCTGACATTGAAATGTTGCATCTCTGGAAAGAAATTGTATTATTTCTTTCCTTTAGAATATGGATATTTCAAATTCAGGTGGTTGTGGATAGCTATTCCTCAGATTAGCACATGACGGTTTCCCCCTTACGCCAATTATAAGAACTACCAACCTTCTAATATTTTTGTAAATTTATCAATAAGAAGCCAAGCATGTAAGTGGGCTGGATCCAAACAGTCATTCTTAGAGTAGATCTGTGGAAAACAATGGGACTTAATCATAGTAATGACTAATTTGTCCCAATGATTTCAATTGGTCTGCTTTAAGTATCACTAAGTCTGGATCCTATTCATGAAATTCATCCAACTGAAGAGTTTCCGATAGGGCATGTAGCATTTAGAGACAGGGGTTTTTTTTTTTTCCAGGGGGCTTTGCAATTACTGAGGATGAAGATACATTCTGATTGATAAGTTCTGATTTTTAATAATGCTTCTCCTCTTGTATTCCAGATAGCACTCCAGTTTACCCAGAAGAGGGTGGAGTAGAGGTATGTCTTCTTTTCTCAGTTTTAACATCCATTTCTTCCATTTGTTGATTTTGTCTCTGCATGATTATATTCTAATCACAATTTTCTTCTTACCTGGCAGGGTCCTCAAGGAGAACCAGGCCCAAAAGGAGATAGGGTTGGTATCTATAACAAAGTATTAACCTATTATAGTTGAAGTTTAAAAAAATAAAAACCTTTCATAAGATATGAGGCAGTCATAATATTTTGATGATTTTCTTTGGTGGTGTTCACATTCAGAATCATCCATTTTTGGATGAAAAGAATATGAATATATAGATGTGTTTTCCACCATCACCACCACCGCTCCACATAAAGAACTTCCAGATTTCCATTGCCTTGCTGTTTCTAACATTTGAAATGTTTTAACATTTCATTGTAATATGGGAAAACAAAAACTGAAGAAATCCCCAAGAACTAACTTCATGGCAGTTTGAAATAGGCATCTGATTTGTTTAAAAGAGAAAGCATCTAGACCAAATCTGGCCTCTTCAGTATTATGCACCACAGTCCCCCCGTTGTCTGATGCTTCTAAAGCTTCTGAACCAAGTGTCAGTCTTCTTTCATCTTGAAAGTGCTCTTATATGAAATTTGCCACAATACGAGGAACTTCCAAACAGTTCAGCTCTAGCACATGGACCAGAGTGCACTGTCATATTGCTCACCTGTAGCATCTTACCATTTTGTTTTCAGGGACCTGCAGGCCCACCTGGCAGAGATGGCATTCCTGGACAACCTGGCCTCCCTGGTCCCCCAGGCCCTCCAGGACCCCCAGGCCTTGGCGGAGTAAGTAGGATTGACCTACTTATCTTTGTTATTCCAAGAATTTATGGAGAATGTGCTTCTTAGAACACTGGAAACATGTTCTCTGATTTCCTGTCCTTTTCTTGTTTTTCCTAATAGAACTTCGCTCCTCAGCTTTCTTACGGTTATGATGAAAAATCTGTTGGTGGTCTTTCTCTTCCTGGCCCAATGGTAAGTGCTGATGGTCTTGCGGGTTCAGAAAAAACACTGGCTGAAAATGTGTGTTTAGTGAGGAAGCAGAATAGGAAGATAACATGAGAGGAAAACAGGTGTACTTTGGGAGGCATGAGCCAAAAACTGTTTGGGTCTTTGCTGTTCCTTAATCTTAAAGTTAGAATGGTTAAGCCACACAAAGATTATAGGTAGCTAAATGAGTAGATGATAGATTTTCTCTGCTGATGACCATTTCATGTACTCACAACAGCAGAAACTATCTTCCTAGAGTGAAGAATCAAACACACTCTAGGAAGTTACTTTTTTTGCACGACACTTTATTCCAGAAAACAGAATAACAGGAAGTCCTTCTTTCCATGAGAAAAAAGGATGTGGATTCAGTTAATTATGCAAAGATAGTGATGATGATGATGATGATATTTGTGATATATTTAAATCCAGCTCCCATCACCCCCAACCAGCATGGCCAATGCTCAGGAATAATGAGAATCATAATCAACATCTGGAGGACTACACCGGTGTACATAATGGATCAGATTCAGATTTAATCATAATTAGGGCAGATCAATAGGCCTTAAGCTATTTGTGATGAATATAAATCCCACTGATTTAACCTAACTCTATGAATATATCTAAATCCAAAATATATTTCTCCAAGTGTTCCATTACTTCACTATCCTCAAGGGTGTTCAATATCAAAACACTCTTATAAAATAGACCAATGATATTATCTCCATAACAGAAGGTGGGAAAAAAGCTAAAGGAAAGAGATTACTAGTTTGTTTGTTTGTTTGTTTCTATATAGTGGAGCTGTGATAGTTCCTACTTTTTTTATCATATACCCATTACCATGGCTTGAAATGAAGAACACACTTACCATTCCCCATTCCCAGCTGAAGAATTTCATTAATTTTACTGAAATTCTTGCAGTTTCTCCCAACATTTCTCAGATGCTCTGCTCAAGCAGAAACAGCCTCTTTTTGCCCCATGCTTCACTTTAGATGAAATCTGATGGCAACTCACCAATCTGTGGGAGGTCATTGGACACTTGACCACTAAAGCAGACATTTCTCCAATATCTATGTGCAAGTTTGACCAAGATGGATGGATAGAGATGTGGAAAAGGCAATTTAGGTAATTATATCAATCTAGCTGATAAGAAAGATCTAGAAACTATCCTCAGGCAAAGCCTTGAAACAATGAAGTACAGCAAGGTCAAGGTACCATGGTTGTCAGATCAGCCATAGGGAACAATGAGATCCACTGAGGTCAAGACAATATAATGCCTATCTCATTTAATCCATAAACCTGACTTTCTCTTCTCACCTTGATTTTCAGGGTCCAGCTGGTCCTCGCGGTCTTCCTGGTCCCCCTGGTGCTCCAGTAAGTACTTTTTTCTCCCTCTTAAAATCAGTTCCAGTACGCTTTAAACAAAGATAGGTGCATATTGCATTGCAGACCATTGGTGCATTGCAAAAACACAGACTTTGGTGCTTGAAGCAATGTTCACCATCTTGATAATCTCAGGTTACTTCCTTCTTTCTTTTGAGCATGATTATATATGGGCCACCATGCCCCAGAAAGCAAGGATTTTTTGCCCTGCTCTTTTCCTTTTTTCATGAGTACCATAAGCAGAATAAATCATGCTAAGTACGTGCAAATCTACTTGGCACAGAATGTGAGGCTGGTTTGCCACCATGCTACCTGCACGGAGAAGCTGTGGGTCCTCTCTTGAGAGGGCCTGTTCCACAGACATAGATGTTCACAGGCATTCACAGAGGGCCTGGCGTGCTGAAAGCAGGGGAAGTGGAAGAATTAACCTTATTCACTTTCCTCTTTGACATGGGAGATAATCATGTCACAATTAGTTCTTAAACTGTATGGATCCAAGAAGAGATGGTTGAAATGCAGATTTACATATCCTCTAGCAGCAAGCCTGCCTCCCAGTCCATGACACAGGGAGGCCTTACTTACTTAGCTGCCTGCTCTGCACATGCACAGAGGCACTCATTTCTTCTATGTCTTTATATGGTCCCTGATGAGCTTTAACTCAAGTTAAACCTTGCTAGGAGACTTACAGTATATACTGTCATAACAGATCTGGGGCCAACGGAGAAACCAAGGGTTCACTAAATCTATTCAGGGTGTGGGGGGAGTCAGGAGAAGAGGGGAATGGCAGTGGAGGATTAAACAAGAGTAGGACAGACTGGTTCAGCAAAGGTTTTGCAGCAGGGAAAGTGGGGAACAGACTCACAGAGAAGGGATGGCTGTTCCAGGCCAAGAAGGCAGCACTGCAGAAAATACAGAGGCAGGAATGGGAGACTGAAGGAAAGAGGATCTCAAAGCTGAGAGAGCTCATGGTTTCCTCCATAAGGCAACCAAAACCAATAAGGTACAATCGGTAGTGGCTTTTCTTTTGCTAACATAGATGTTCTATTCCATATTATAGGGTCCCCAAGGTTTCCAAGGTCCCCCTGGTGAACCCGGAGAGCCTGGTGCTTCTGTAAGTATTATCTGATCTTTTTGTATCTTGTGCTTGCTTTGTTATAGCCGTACAGAATAATCTTCAGTCTGTACCTTGCATTTCCCTTTTCTCACCACTTGGGGGAGCTTTTGAATGCTGAATGTTGTACACCAGTCCCTATCTGGTCCCACTTTTAAACATACCAGTTGGGTTCTAAATGGGAGCTGAAGTCTTGCTTCTGATTTTAATGCATCTGTTTCTTTTCGGCAAACATTCTAGGGTCCAATGGGTCCCCGTGGTCCAGCTGGCCCACCTGGCAAGAATGGAGATGATGTAAGTGACTGTGTCTTTCTTTGTGGGAGGACCCAATCTCTTTTTTCTCCCCTAATGATAAAATGATGGGGTGTTCCCAAATTGCCAGGAAAAAACCCTGTTGTCAGCACTGAGGTTCCTCTGAGCTTGCAAGCTTGAGTGTGCTGACTCATGATGTGTAAGGTCTTGCAGTGTCTTCAGGTAAAGCAAGTAGGATCTGACTATGGAAATGGAGAGCATCTATGGGAACAGAGGAGTCAAACCTCCTCAAGGCCACTTTCCCTTGGCATTTCCAACTGAGCATCGCCATGAGTAGCTGATAGCTGAAGGATGAGTGCTCAAAGTCCCATTTCCTTTGGATTGCTTGTAGTCTCTGTGCTCCAAGGGAATCACTATGCAAACCAGCCCCATGTGCAGCCACAGTTTCTTCCTTCCCTTTTGCAAATACAATTCCTCAATCCACTGACTTTCCCCAGCAAATTTGTTGTTATAGTGCTGGCTTACATCTTGTCTCCTTTTCTTTCTCTAAGGGTGAATCTGGAAAACCTGGCCGTCCTGGTGAGCGTGGTCCTCCTGGCCCACAGGTAAGATCTCTCCTCTGGCCAGGTTGCTAGAACATCACAGCACAGTTGAGAAGCAACTGACCTTTTCTAAAGAATCTCAGGTGGCCCAACAGCTTAGAGAAGACAAGAGCTAGTTTCAGTCATGAGGAAAAAAATTAATAGGCCCTCCAACACTTGTAACTAGAGTCATTGGGAGAATAGATTAGACAAGCACTGGCAACGGGCAGCTTAAGAACTGTGATCCTTGCTTTGGTGGATAGGTCTCCACCCATCGCACTCCAAGTATTCAAAGACACATTACAGTGCAGTCTTATTTCAGTTCATCATCACAGCAGTTTTGCAAAGTTAGACTAAGAGGTGCTTACCCACTCATGACCAGAAGATGGCTAGAGAACCATCAAAGCACACATCTGCCCACTGCATCTCAACACTAGCTGATCACTGTCAAAGTGTTTCTCAGACAGAAAAATCTGAGCTCTTGATGGGTGGTTTCCATGGTACAGGGACCTTTGATCCTGGGTAAGGTTCCATAGGCAGAGTTGGAGGGGGAAAAACCTTGCCATTAAGATGATCCAGACAAGGTACAATCTATCACATTTTAATTTCTTGTGGCTTTTCATTGTTTTCCTGCCCATGAAAAGCAGAGTAACTCATATACCAGGTCTCATGGTCAAGACATCCTACTCACTTGTTTATAGATGGTTAGAAAGAAGAAATATTATTCTGTGTCTCTCTTCTAAATTGCTTTTTTTTTTCCCCTTCAGGGCGCTCGTGGTCTTCCCGGAACTGCTGGTCTGCCAGGCATGAAGGGACACAGAGTAAGTGTGTCCCAGTTGTTCAACATGCAAATAAATCCAGGAATCTTACAATTTTCAGTGTCCCAGGGCTACAGTATGACTTAACAGCATGCTTGCATATCCTCTTGAGCTGTTAGGAATTGCAGCCATCGGAATATACATAGCACTGGTGATTGTCACCAAGGCACCTTCAATGCATAATATCTGGCATTCACTGCTACTGTAAATATGACAATACCCCCAGCATCATGGACAAGTAAACCTTGGCATTAGATCCCTTCTCATTCCATTTTTCTTAGAAGGCAACCCAAGATCAAGCTGACAATGCCGTAAAAAACACCTACCAAAATGTTGTCAATGGAACACTGCAATACTTTGATTTTATATGTTTATATCCTTACTTACCTGTTTCCAAGAAGGTCTCCATCCTGATAGTGACCAGCCCCAGGCCTGCTTAGTTTCAACACATTTGCTAATACCAAACTCATTTTGATGAGTTATATAATATGAAGTTGATAGTTTTGCTAACAGACAATTATATTATGGAACCCATAGACTTTCCTAGACTCTGCTTCTTAGATGTTAATGTTAATGTTCCTTTCTTCTCTGTCCATCCATTCTTTCCATCCATTTTAGGGCTTCAGTGGTCTTGATGGTGCTAAGGGTGATAGCGGTCCAGCTGGCCCTAAGGTGAGTGTACACTATAAGTATATTCCACCTTCAGTGTATGAAGAATTTCATCCTCCCTATTTCAGCAACTGGGCACTGACATCTATTCTCTCTTCTCTTTTAAGGGTGAGCCTGGCAGCCCTGGTGAGAATGGTGCTCCTGGACAAGTTGTGAGTATACACTTTCATCATTCTAGTGTATCTCATCTTGCTTTGATGAGAGCACCTTTTTCATCTTACAGGCTTAGGTTGGGTACCACGTGATTTGTTCCGGTGATGCCACAGAAGTTTCAAGGGAAATTCCACTAAGAGCAGGGAGATTGTACCATAGCTCAGTGGTAGAGTACATATTTTGCCTGCAGAATGTTCCAAAATCAACCCCAGGAGCTGAAGTTAATATCAGGTGATAGGAAAGAGCTCCATCTGAAACCTTAAAGAGCTGCTGACACATTGCTGGGCTAGATGGACCAATGGTTTGACTCAGCATAATGCAGCATCCTACGTTCATGCCTCCTATGGTCACAACTTTCAACCTTTGTGTTCTGAGGATGAATTCAGCTGAACCTTCACCTCTTCCTGTGTTGGCTTTGCTGGGAATCAGTTGGAGCTAAGTTGTATGAAAGTGCCCAGTGCAGTAGGGTTCCTATCACATGTTGTCCAATGGGCACTGGCCATGGTTAATGTACAGAAATCTAAAAAACAAGGAAAATACGTTCAGTTTTAATCCTTTCTTAAATAGGAGAGGGCAGCCTAGAACACCTTGTTATGAAGCACACAAAGGGACAGATCAAGTAACATGAAGTGTTACTTTATGGAAAGCTGCTAGTCTTTGTGTGAGATTTCAGATAACAAGGCTGGGAGCACATCAGAACTGGACCTGAGGGCAAAAGAAACAGAGCAAAGATGTGTTTCTTTCACTTTTTAAAAATGGATTCTACAATGGCCTTTAACTAGCCTTTAGGTATGGTTACAGAAAAATGCAGCACAATAGCCACATGTAGTTAAAAGGAGAAACTGTATCAGAATAGGGGAAAGAGGGGAATTTAATAAACTAGCTTTACGTCAGGGACAGATAGCAGGTATGAGGCAACATGAAGAAACAACCTATTAGCAAACAGACTCTGTTTTAAATCCTTGTAGCTCTCTGGAGCATAAGGGAGTCCCTTGAACTGCAGAGGGATTATATTTTTGGAGGGCAGAGGTAGACACTGAAGAACAGAAAACCTGATGGGAAGGATGGTTGCATAATAATGAGACACTGATCAAAGCTGTTTTCTCCCAAATGACCTTGTTTCTTCCTCTTCTGACTAGGGCCCAAGGGGTCTTCCTGGTGAGAGAGGCCGTCCCGGTCCAGCTGGCCCTGCTGTAAGTACATTTTTCTGTATTGCTGAACTGCTACCAATTTGCAGGGCTTGATGGACTTGCTCCAAGTATGAAGTACCAAGTATTCTTGCATAGCCTGGTGAGAATGTGGCACTAATTCATTGACCTTTCCCTTCTTCTCATCTATAGGGTGCTCGTGGTAATGATGGTAGCCCAGGTCCTGCTGGTCCCCCAGTAAGTATTCCTCTAATATTCTATTTCTCCTAACAGACCTACTATTGTTTGGGTGATTACCCTTTTCTTATGGAGAGGATATACAAAATAGTGGCCATGGGGCAGAAGGAACTGCGGGACAGTTCTTTCTATAATTAACCAACCACGGGTTGGAAGAGTTTACCTCAAGTTCACTTTCCTGGCCATTTCAAAGTAGACACCAAACATCCTGCCTTAGCTGGAGCTGAGTTGACCAAAAGAGTTCTAATTTGGGATACTACGGAAAACTCTAGAATCATCACTTAATGCTGTACTCTTCTTCTTCAGGGTCCCACTGGTCCAGCTGGTCCCCCTGGCTTCCCTGGTGCTGTTGGCCCTAAGGTAAGAACGCCTGACTGCCCTGACATTTGGAAGTAATTGTTTTGTGAGGACCATCTCAGTAACATCAAAATGGTTGAGTTTATCTCTTCCTTTCTTTCTTGAAATAAGAGCTCCATAGTACCATCTCTGCTCTAGAGCTATTGCTTAGCAAACATACTTAATTCGTAGCAATAAATAATTGAGCCATTTTCTTCTTCTATAAGAAAGACCTCAGGCTGTTCCATATTCCTCATAATGATAATCCAGACTTTGAAAAAGCTTCCTCCTCTGACTCTGTGAAGCCGTCTAGCCTGTGTATAATTCCAAGAGGCTCCAATTCTCAATCAGAAACCAAGATGAAGGATCTACAGTTAACATAGTCCTATATAATATTATGTAGAAATTGTGGCTGCTTGGCAGTTTTCCTTCCTGCTTGTGATATTTGAATCCAGGTGAGGGTCCAGGAATATTACTTCCTAGGCCCAGTTGATACTGATTTGAAAAAGAGATCACTGCATGGTTAAATCTTCATCATCATGGTTCAAATGTTATCAGAATCATGTATCAGGGAATTGGAAATGAGCAACAGCCAGTTTTTGTAGCATAAGGATTGGGTCACAGGACTTATGAGTAGGTCCCAAAGAAGTAAAACAACACCTTCAAAGGGCTAAGTAAAGAGTTGCAGTTATTAAATGCTGTCAAGTTGTTTCCAACTTAAGACAAGCCTATGAATGAAAGCCCTCCAAATGTCCTGTCCATGACAACTCCATTCAGCCCTTTCAAGTTCAAGTCTGTGGCTTCCTTTATGGATTCAATTCATCTCATATTTGGTCTTCCCTTTCATCTTCTGCCTTTGACTTTCCCTAATATGATTGTCTTCTCCAGGGAGTTTTGCCTTCTCATGATGAGTCCAAAGTATGGGAGCCTCAGTTTTGTCATTTTTGCTTCTAGGGAAGGCCCTGGCTTGATTTGATCTAGGACCCTCTTGTTTGTCTCTCTGTCAGTCCAGGATATTTGCAAAGTCTTTCTTTAACACCATGTTTCAAATGCATTGATTTTCTTCTAGTCTTCAGACTTCAAAACACTGATGGGGGAGCAGGGAGACAGAGGGTGTATAGGGCCCTAATAAACTAGGCTACAGGCCTTACAGTACTAAACTAGCATACCTGGCAGGGAGAAAGAACTCTAAGGCCTCATGAGGATTAGGTATGGCAAAGATGATGTTGCCACCAGGTCCATGGATAATTACTTACATTTATTGCTCTTTCTCTTGCTGCACAGGGTGAAACTGGTCCCCAAGGTGCTCGTGGTGGTGAAGGCCCACAAGGTGCTCGTGGTGAACCCGGCCCTGCTGGTCCTGCTGGATCTGCTGGTCCTTCTGTAAGTTGCCCTGGCAATTCACTTTTGCTTTTCTTTTACGTTCAGATATGCTTCAGAATTTTCTATAGGCAGCAGTGATAACCCTTGTCTCTTCTTTCTCTGCTTCAGGGAAACCCTGGTGCTGATGGTCAACCTGGTGCCAAAGGTGCAACTGTACGTATCTTCCCAGTACACACACTTTCCTTATCCTTATCAATGCCCTTGTTTACCAGTCATTCACCTGTTCTTTTCTCTCTCCTAGGGTGCTCCTGGTATTGCTGGTGCTCCTGGCTTCCCTGGTGCTCGTGGCCCAGCTGGACCTCAAGGCCCCAGTGGCGCTCCTGGTCCCAAGGGTAACAGTGTAAGTGTCAGCTAAGTCTTCCTCACCTTTCAGCTCATCAGAGCTAGCCATCTGGGCCAAATGTCCAGTAAATCCCATGTCCTTTCGCCACTAGGTCACCATAGGTGGCCCTGTCATAGTACCACTGGTTCAGAAGGCATCTTCTTCTGCATTTTCCATGCTCATATACTTGCCATCTGTGCTTGTTTAGCAGTTACAGTACCTAGATTCTCAGTGTCACCAGCTGGTTCCAAATTTGTACCTGATAGGGGAACATTGCCTTCAGTATTTCGCTAGCTTTGGAAGCATTTCACACTGCTCTGCCAGCCACCATGGCTTTGAAATTCTGAACTCTGAAGTATGGCATAACAGCTAGATCTATGCAGCTGTTGGAACAACTGTATCACAACAATAAGTAGTGGTGTAGAAATAGTTGCTTTGAAGGAAATTGTTCCAAAATTAGCCTGCTAGCAAAACTTCACAGGGTTAAGATTTATATAGCGTCTGAGCCATTGGACACATAGCGTGTGTTCTCAAATCCCTTTCCCAACCCTGCTTCTCACCATCAAACTCTTCTAGACAAGCATTAAGCCAGTTTTCTTCTGACTTCTCACTCCATTTCTCCAGACTGTATGGGTGACAGAAGTTTGATGAAAATAAACTCAGAAAAACGACACAACCTTGTTCTCTTGTACATGAAAAAGAAACCCCACAACTGCACTTCTTGCTCTGAAAAAGATATATGACTCTTGTTTTTTCTGTGTCTTCTTCATATCTATAGGGTGAACCTGGTGCTCCTGGAAACAAAGGAGATGCTGGTGCTAAAGGAGAACCTGTAAGTGTCCATCTCACCTGAATTTGAAACCCTAACCCTATTCTGGTCTTAGGTATTCCTGCTCACCTCCTTCTCCTTCATCTTATTTTGCAGGGCCCCGCTGGTGTCCAAGGCCCACCTGGTCCACATGGTGAGGAAGGCAAGAGAGGATCCCGTGGTGAGCCCGGACCTGCTGGTTTGCCTGGACCTGCTGGTGAACGTGTATGTAGCAATTTCATTTTTTGGTCTCCCCTTACTCGCAGCACCAAGATCAGAATCTTTTAGCACTCATTTAGAGCAAGCCCAATTTGCTCACCAGCCATGTAGCTGTCCAGTATGCCCACTGTGGCTCTTTTGATTAGTTAAGAATTGTTAGGTCGAATTAAAAGTGAAAGCAAAGCAGGCCAGAAAGAAAACATAACAAGCTTTAGTGAGTCGGAGAAGGACTATAGTGCCCCATGCGAAACACTGTTCTGAGTACACTGCGACACTTCAGAAGAAATTATATTTACACTACTGTGTGTTCTTCACTCACTGGTCATGATAGCTATATATCACCTCCAGAAATAGAGGTACTGTTCCTGAGTATCAGTTCTGGAGACCGTAAGTGGGAGGGAACTGCTGCACTCACTCCCTGAGTGTAGGCTTCCCATAGACCCGCCTCTGTGGGACAGAATGCAAGGATGAACCTTTGGTCAAAGCCACTAAGACCCTTATTTCTTTGTGTTCTTCTGAACCAGTGGGAGCTCAGATGGGCACTGTAGTTATTCCCTTTCCTCTGAGAATTCTCCAAATTTGGATCTAGAAATAAGCACCACATTTACCCCTGGTACCCAGCTTGAAATTCCAGGACACCTCGTGAGAACCTCATTCATATAAGGTATATATAATTGAGACCTTTAAGGTCAGAGTTGCCACAGATCGGTCAGGCCACCATTTCTGTTTGAGAATGATCAAAGGTTTGCTGTGAGATCATAGCTTCCCTTACCTCACACATCATGCTCCCTCTCTCCTGAAGGTTTTTTTCCTTTGTCCTTCCCTTGTCATTTGTTGCTTGGTGCTCTGGCTAGAAGCAGTTTGCCTTGTGGAATCTATTCCTGCAGACCAAAGAACACGTCTTTTCAGCACCTGTTCTCCATGTATGGGTTATGTATCCTGGTTTAAGGCAGAGGAAGGGTTGGCAAGTAGATGTTTGCCCCTTCAGCTGCAGGGTGGGTGAACTATTATTCTCTAATTCTTGAAAGAAGAGTATTAACCTGATGGAGGAATTACTTTCATTCATCTAGATAGGTTTTTGCCTTATGTTTAATGGTCTTTTTATCCTCTCTGCCCAATTAGTGATTTTTAAAGGCTGCAATATTTTTTTACCTGTCCACAAGAGAGATGACCCTTGGGTTGACATACTGATGAAAGAGTTCTCTTTGCAGCCCACCTGTTGGCAGTATTGAATATGTGCCATTCACCTGTTCTCTTCTGCCCTATTCACAGGGTGCTCCTGGAAGCCGTGGTTTCCCTGGTGCTGATGGCATTGCTGGTCCCAAGGTGGGTTCTGGTGATTACAGACAGTACTGATATGGTTTCTTCACATGCATACACCACTGGCTAGAGAGGAATTATGAGACTGAATGGTAGAAAATGTTTCTTAGAGGAAAATGGTTACATCAGCCTTGAAGAATGTGTAACAGGTTTCGATAACTATATCAAGGCCAGGACAGGATAAATGGAATGTTCTCTTAGCAGAAGGATGTCCATTGCAATTCCTCATTTTGAATGATATTCAATTTTGAAAAGCATCTTATGGCGTGACATCAATGCCGCTTAACATCTGTTGGGTTGCCAGATGCACTTAATGTTGAGGAGATGACAGGAGTACAGCCATGCTGCATATCTTCTAAGGCAGATGTCTGGCAATCAGAACAGGGCTATTTGTTGCAATGTTGAAAGCAACTATTGAAATATAATCATTACAATAAGCCATCAAAATTGCTGTGAATCTCCCAGAGACTTGGGCAGTATAGAAATGAAATCAACAATAACGGTTAACAACAACATATTTTTAAAAATCCTGAGCCTTAAAATTTAACATTAGCCCCTGAACCCGCCATCTTCTGCTTTCAAGGTGGAGGTAACTTGCCCAAGTTCATACCCTGAGATTTCATAGAAAAACTTTAAACATGCAGGAATGTTTAAAGTTCTGGTGCTCCCTGAATCTCAGACCCTCTTCCAGTTGAACTAGTGGTGATTGCAGTAAACAATGCCGAGTGCTTTTTCATGTTTCACCCCACAGTGGCATTTGTAGCTTTCCTGTTTCTTTTTTTTTTTCTGGGCACATAACTTGCTTGGAAGTTAGTTTCAATCTTTCTTCTCAGCCTTTATCCTTCCTACCACCAATCCAGATATGCTTCACGTTCATAATTCTATCCCCTTCTATTATTCTATTGCTCCTTCCTCACACTGGAACTATCCAAGTTTACTACCAGAGGAGAGAATTAGATCAGTCTCCTTTCCTTGTGCAGCAATTCGTTCTCCGGGAATCTTTGGATTTAACCCTAAAATAGCACAGAAACTTTCTAAATAGGGGAGGGATAAAGCAATGGCAGTGTTTATGTGTTGTATCTAACATCTTCTCATCACTGTTCCTTTTCCAGGGTCCCCCTGGTGAGCGTGGTTCTCCTGGCCCTGCTGGTCCCAAAGGATCTCCTGGTGAAGCTGGACGCGCTGGTGAGCCTGGTCTCCCTGGAGCCAAGGTGAGTGAATGACAGAGCACGAACATGGCCACATGCTTTCATGGTTACCCCTGGAAAACAACAAAAATGTGGCACTTTCTACAGCTACATTCGCATCAGTGCTGCCTTTGGGCCCTAATGTGGAATGACTCTTCCCATGGTCTAATACTAGCTTCATTCATAAAAAGGGACTTTTCTGTATGTGAGGTACTTCACATTCTCTGTCACATGCTGGTAAAGAGCCTTTTATGGGTCCAATTTTACAGACAGGAGAAGGAAGGTGACGAATAAGTAGGGCTGAGTTGAAGGAGGGAGCTTTGTCCTATCAGCTTTTAGTGTCTACATCTGAGTACAGTGGGTGCATATATGGTGAAATCAGTCAGAAGTATTGCCCTCACTCTGAATTGGCTTCATGACATCACTGCTTAATCTTATCTGAATAGCTACATAGCATCATGACATCCTGAATTTCCTATATGATCTTGGATTGGCTGGGATCACTCAAGGCAGAAAAAGCCTTAACAAAAAAAATGGCACAAAAGCCCTAATGAGGAAAAAAACAGTTGCTAGAAATGCCATTAGTATGTAAAAGTAGAAAGTCTTTTTAGGCAAATTTTTAGAAATAGATGACTTGCTCAAAGTCACTAGGAAATCAAGGATTGCTGTGTAATTTGAGTTCAAGACTTAGAAGCCAGAGTCAAATGCTTAACCTGTTGAACTCCAAACACACTCAAAAATATCCCTTGCTCAATAATTTGAACCCAGTATCCCAGTTTCCACTTCAAGGACCAAACTGTTTGTGTAGCCTATGTATCTATTGCCTTTATTTATTACTTTTCCGCTAGGTGCTCAGGGCAACTTTCAGGAAAATGAATTAAAAACATGCACATATCAATTAAAATATGTATCAATACAGAAAGGCTGTAATAAAGCACTACTAAAACTGAAACTAATTTACAAGAAATCAGCACTAGCTATGCTGAGGAGGCTTTTAAAACTGTAAAAGTCTTTCTGTTCTGGATGAAAGAACACCAAGTGCAAGCGTCTTGCAAAACATGCTATGGTGCACCACTCTGATCATGCACTGCTATGCCCTGAGGTGCCAAAGACAGGGTGAGCTGACCTACCCTTCCTCAGTCACACGCTCTCTTTGTTAATCCACCAAATGCTGCTTTCTAACTCTCTTTCATTTCCCCCCACTCAGGGTCTGACTGGTAGCCCTGGTAGCCCTGGCCCCGATGGCAAGACTGGACCTACTGTGAGTAACGGATTTCCCCTCTTTTAATTCTTTCCTTTGCCCAGAAGGGAATTGTTCTTTAAACAAATGAACACCTCTTCATTGGTTCCTTTTCCCCCTAATAGGGCCCTGCTGGTCAAGATGGTCGCCCCGGACCTGCAGGTCCACCTGGTGCAAGAGGTCAAGCTGGTGTGATGGGTTTCCCTGGACCTAAAGGCGCTGCTGTAAGTAACATTTTCTTGAATCTCATGTAAGAGCAGACAAATCTATCAGTTCCACTGTCATCCCCAATATTTGGATCATTTAAATCTCAGGTTCTTTCCCATATATGAGGAAATGTATAAATTTTGGTACATTCTTATCCAAAAAGAACTAAAATTAAACTCTCAGTCACCTCTAGATCACAATGCCCTGGATGAGAAGGATAGAAAAATCTATGTTTCTGCATCCAGTGACATATATAACATATATAAAACCTTCAGAGCCTCCTATTCAACTATTTCCTGTGGTGGCCTTCAAGGCTTCCCCTTTAGCTTTAGATTCTGTGATTCATGATAAGAAATGTCCACAGAATTATCTAATAGTATGGAGAACATAAGCATTCAACTGAACTAGACGACAGATACATTTCTGCTTGGGTGTTGGGTTGTTCTAGAATGTAAACCAGAAAAGGCAGGGTGGAAGGAAAGAAAGAAGAAAGACTCCAGTGCTATAGAGGTGCAGGGCACTGTAGTTTTCCCTATCATGACAACATCCATTTGTGGCCCAAACAAAATCTGCATGCTGCTTGCACATGGGTGCAAATCCAATATGCCTTTGTTATAGATGTGCTGAACTTGCACGAGTGAAGATGGAGCTTGGGGAGTGAAGTCCTACAACTGGGAATATCTTGCTTGTTTGCTTACCATAAAGTTATTGATTCCGCCTCTAAAACAACTTCTTCCCCTCCCTACCCTCCTGTTCTAGGGTGAGCCTGGCAAGCCTGGTGAGAGAGGTGCTCCTGGACCTGTTGGTGCTGTTGTAAGTATTTTATTCACTGCCTTATACTATACACTTGTTCTCTGTCCCAAGTCCAAATCTGAACTTGCATCTGTACAAGGATTTTTAGTCAAACCAAGAAATCATTGGTACTCATTCTGGATTGTCACAGCAAGCCCTTTGGCAGAGAGAAAAAGCTAATCCTGCTATCACAGGATGTTGATTTGACATCAAGAGTGTACCAGGGGCTATACAGAAAATTGAACAAGTTAAAAAAACTGAACTAAAGAGATTGCAGTCCACATAATGCAGAAGACTGAGAGCAGAGGGAAAGGCTAGGGTCAATGTGTTAGAGGGATGTCCTACATGCACAGGGAAGCTCTGGAAAATGCAACGAAAAAGGACAAATGAGAGTGAAGAAGAAGCACACCAAGGGGGTTACTGCATAGATAGTATACATGACAGTGGTACAAAGAAGCAATGCATTAAGGCAATAAATGATCTAGGCATTTAGCAGGAGTGTGAGATATATTGATTTAGAAGAAGCGTTTTTGATCACCAGACCTCTAAAATTGATTCCAGATATTCTTGTCTCTGCCTTTTCCCACCCTCAACCTCTCCTCTTTTCCCCTAGGGTGCTGCTGGTAAAGATGGTGAAACTGGTGCTCAGGGACCCCCTGGCCCAAGTGTAAGTAAAAATTATTTATTGATCACACCTTCTTTACTATTCATGATGATCACAGGACAGCCCTTTTAAAATTCTTCTAATCCTTGATGCTTCCTCTGTTTCCCATCACAGGGCCCTGCTGGAGAAAGAGGTGAACAAGGTCCCGCTGGAGCTCCTGGATTCCAGGTAAGAGGTTTCACAAATAAGGAAGCACAGCCAGAATGCTAATTTAGTGTCAGCCTAACTCCAAATGGAAACCAGGAAACAAAGAAAACAACAGAAATCAGGGGTAGCAATAAACCATAAATTAAGTCTACTGACATATTGTTGCTTAATTTTCCATAATTTCTTTCTTGCTCTAGGTTTTCAAATGAGTTAAATTTCTTTGTGATCTTTCTGCCAAGGAACTGGATAGGGTGGGAGAAGACAGACAAATATATTTTCACTAACCATAGGGATTAGAAAGTTACCTTAAAAATAAGAAAAAGAAAGAAGGCTAGAATGCAGAAACCTTGAGAACAAGTAGCAATGGCTGTGCCAGTACAGCAGTCTTTCAGATGCTCAAACCATAACCTCTTTGACAAGCAGTATTTCAGTTCCAGCTTCCCCCAGTCCTCTGACATCTAACTTTTTTTCACCTCTTATAGGGTCTGCCTGGTCCTGCTGGTGCCCCTGGTGAATCTGGAAAGCCTGGTGAACAGGTAGGTAACACAGCTGTTCATACAGAAGCATGTAAAAGAGATGGCCAGCTCTGCAGATAGCACAGAACCACATTCCCCATTCTTACTCTAGGATGATCAGAGTTGTAGTCCAACACATCTGCAGGGCCCTGGGTTGGGGAAGGCTGGCTCAAAGTCTGATCTCAGCCTGCTGACTCCCCAGAAAAAACTCATTCCCCACATCTACAGTTCTTACATCTGTCTTCCTGATCTGCCTATTTCCTTTTCAAACCATCATTTGTCATATAGCTTAACTTTCCAGGATTCCATATGTCAAGCCTCTTCCCTTTTGCTCCTTCTGCCTTATCATCCGCAATCTGCACACACAATGAAGCCAGGTTCCTCTTTCCCTTTAATAGCTGAACAGATTTAAGCAGGTGCAGGTTTGCTCTTCCCTTCAGGACTAGGTTTTGGCAAGTTTAGGTGGATTTGATTAGGCAAATTCTTCTTCTTTTTCAAATTCTTCATCCATTCCTTATAATTAAGACATTTTACATATGTATCACTGCTTGTATTGTTTGCAGTGTGGGCGAGGCATGGCATGAATTCATAATTGTCCGATTGTTCCAGAGTCCACATCATGCCTCCTTTTCACAGGGAGCTTCGCTTACACTTTCTGTGTAATGCCAAACCTGTGTAATGCAGACTCTTTGTTTGGCCTGCATCAGTGAAGAAAAGTGGACTTTCAGTTGGTTAGTCAGAGCCACCTACAAGAAGGCTTTAGTGGGGTATGCCAGGTTATTTTACAATGGCCAAAGAAACCTCCATATTGCAGGCAACAGCCCTGTGTCACCACGCAACGTATGTTCCTACAAGAAGCTATTTGACAGAGAGAGGTGGTTGAACTCATTAAGCAGAGGATGCTGTAGCAGTAGATTTCCTACTCCACCAGGATTCTGGACTAGATAACCTCTACAGCTCATTCCAGTTCTGTGATTCTATTAGAGAAAAGGAAGACCATGTGAACTAAAACTAGAATTGCTAGATCATAATTTCCACAGTGGAGATAAGTAATGCCTCCTGCCACAGAATAGTGAAGATAACCTGGATTCTTTGTCAAAGACGCCTTAACAAATGCTTTATTTTGTCCTCCTGACAGGGTCCCCCTGGTGATGCTGGTGCTCCCGGCCCCGCTGGTGCAAGAGTAAGTGAAAAGCTTCTTCTCTCCACACTGGGGTCTTCCATGCTCGTTTGCATTTGCTCACCACTGCTTCCTGTGATAGCGTTGTAACTTAGCTCTCTTTATCAATCCTAGGGCGAGAGAGGCTTCCCTGGTGAACGTGGTGTCCAAGGCCCTGCAGGTCCTCCTGGCCCCCGCGGTGCTAATGGTGCTCCTGGTAACGATGGTGCCAAGGTTTGTTAATATGTCATACTATACCAGATAATTATTTCATAGAGAAATATCTGTATTCTCAGGGGCAACCTCTGAGACTTATGGGCCAAGAGGTATTCATTAAAACATCCACAGACCTCCAAATTTGAGAGTTGGGAGAAATACTCCATCCATTCCTAATGTCCACTGATTTAAAATTTAGTGAGAGCAACTGCAGTACTGGGAATCCTATTACAAGCTTGTGTGATTCCATAATACTTTATCTCCATTCACACATCCATACACACTCCTCCCAAGTTAAGACATAAGAACACTGGGAGGAAGCAGGAGTAGGGGGCCATGATGGAGCCGATGTTCTGTAGGAAGACAGTAAAGTTTTGGCATCTAAAACTTTAATTTTGTCCCTCCCTTTCCACTGAGCCTACTTGTGCTCTCCACATGCGGGACGAGATCCCAGGTCCCGTTCCATCTAGGTTCCAAAGAAGAGTCTCCTTAGGGTGCCTACTGTAGATGTCCAGGAATGGTGACGATGCACAGTAACAGTGTGCCATTCATATGCATTATCCCAGAACCTTTATTTGGTTCCTGTTGGATCTTGCTTTGCCTCATCAGCAAGCTGAAGCTGGCAAGCATGGCAAGCTCACCATTCTGCTCCAAACTTAAGCAATGTACTGCAGTATGCTTGTCTGCCTACATACCCACTCCCTCTCTCCAGTACCTAGTGCCTAATTCAGCACACAGGCACTTCTCCCACAGGACTAGGCTTCTGTCCCTGGTTGCTCAACTGGGCCAGCCAAACCTCCTGAAACAAGCTCTGGGGCCTTCCTTTTCCCATTGCAGTGAGAGCCACATTTCACTCAAAACTGAGATGTTCGGAATTCTGTATCAACTTTACTATTACCAGCCTGAAGCCCCTAAATTGCTGCCTACCTAGGCACCACACAGAGTATTAGACTGAGCATCAGAAAAGTTAAATCATGTGCAATTAGTATGTGAGAGCATATGAGTGTGTGAAAGAAAGAAAAAGTCCAGAAGGGATCAGGAGGCTTCTGTACTAAGGTCAATACCTTAACACTCTTTCTGATCTTTGTCCCCTTGTTTCCTTGTGCCTTTCTAGGGTGATGCTGGTGCTCCTGGCACTCCTGGAAATCAAGGTCCTCCTGGCCTCCAGGGTATGCCTGGCGAACGTGGTGCTGCTGGTCTGCCCGGTGCCAAGGGAGACAGAGTAAGAATCTGGTTCTTGAAAATAAAATCTATCCAAATGGCAGTCACTTGCTCCTTCTCTCTACCTCTGAATGCTTTTCAACTAAGAACAACCATTTTTATGAACCACATGACTATTCATATTCATTCATATTCAAGATTCATAGTCTGAATCAGCTGCAACATATGAGGATTAATGGTGGGCAGAATGAGGTCCTCATCTTGAGACCTTGGTAAAGAATGGGGTAGAAATGTTTTTAATTAATAATGAATGAATAATTTAAAATGAAGGAGATTTAAAAACAGGAGAAAAGGTGGTTAGCCCACAGAAGAAGTCAGAACTCAGCTAAGAATTCATGGTGATGCAAAATAATGCTGGTGAATGCATATCATTCACGGCAAAGTACCCTTTCTCAGGGTCATTTTTTGTTTATAGAGAAAGCAAAAGGGGAAAGCCCCTATGAAAGTAAAAAAGAAGGCTCACAGCAGCTCTGTGTCTCTGGCTAGTTAAGTGGGGCCAGACAATCCTTCAGGAGCCTTCTGACACCTTCCCCCATCTTTCCCCTGATTCTGAACACACCCTATCAATTGGAGAGAAAGCTTGTTGGTGGAGAACAGCTGAAATTGCTTTCTGCTTTTGGTCCATCTAGATCAGAGCTGTTTGCACCACAGTTGGGGCCTGTGCCCCCTCTCCACAATGTTGTTTAATTCCTTCACCCATCACTCCAAACTGCTGCCACTCTGGTTGGAACTGATGGGAGCTGGAGTCTGATAACATCTGGAAGTCCATATCCCTGGTCTACATCAACTGGTAAAAGTTCTTCAGTATGTCAGCCTCTCCCAGACCCAGGCCCTGGGATCTATTTAGTAGAGATGCTGGAAGTCACACCTAGGGCCTCCTGCGTACAAAGTATCTAAATTATGATTAAGCAGAATTATAAGGGCAAGGAGGAACTGGAAGATTATATTAAATTCAGTGAACTAGTATATACAGATCTCCCCTCCTTATAATACCCAGTGACCAGCCCAGCATCGAGTAATTCTTCTCTTCTGCAAAGCCAGAGCAAGAGGTTCATTTACAGGCTTTTTTTCTGAGTTGGCCTAACAGTTTGCAATATGAAGGGTAACCCTTGAAGTAGTATTCAGCCTTTCATTTACAGCCACTGGGAAACCCTTGAGAAAAAAATTATTCATTCTTCCAAACTGCTTTGACATCCTGATATGAATTTTGCATGTAACTTAACTTATGACAAGGCTTCACATTTCAGACATGTATTATCATCAGCAGAGTCCTTCATCCCAGTGCTTGCTGTTCTCTTCAGGACTTCATGTCTGCTCCATCTTCCTTCCTCCCTAGGGTGACCCAGGTCCCAAAGGTGCTGATGGTTCTCCTGGCAAGGATGGCGCCAGAGGACTGACTGGACCCATTGGCCCACCTGGACCCGCTGGTGCTCCTGGTGACAAAGTAAGTGTTTCATTAACTATTATGCTCCTTTCTAGAAAAGATCTTGTGGCCATTACTTGTCAGGGCTCAAGAAAAGTAATTCCATTTCAAGTGCACATTTCTTGGCACTTTAATAGATTTCTGAATGAGCTGAAAACTCTGTTCATTCTTCAATTCTGCTGTTTTGTAAAGTGTAAGGAAGATCTCCATGATGAGGCACAGTTGCCATTGGGAGATGAAACGTCCTTTTCAGTCCTCAACTCAGCATGGGTCATGGTTAGGTAGGGTTGCAATGGGTCAGTCTATCCCTTCTTACTAGTCAGTGCAGTGTACCATCCCAAATGCTGATTTTGAGAACAGGGCAGCAACTGGGTACAGCTCCTTTTCCACCCAAGGAATTTTAAGGCATGAGAATGTGAAGACCATCTACCTGTATTGAACTCTGACTCCTTGTGAGGGGCAGTAGTTGACCAGTTGGGCTTTTTCAGACCATGATCATTTGCTGGGCTCATTCCTGGCTTCACCTGAGCCCTTCAGGCTTGAAGAGCTGAGCTTAACTTGAGGGGAGGGGAAAACATGAGACGAGTACCTGAGTTTGGCTTTTCCCAGCCATATACACAAAATCCAGAACTGATTTGATATAAGTCCATTTTTGAAATCAAAGTGCTAGCTGGCAACTAGATTTAGTTTGCTGAATGAATTGGAAGGCTCCAGGAATTTGTATGGTCCACATTTTAAAATCAGCTACACCTCTGTAGTTTCCCTTTGGATTTAGCACTTTTCTGAATTTTGCAATGCTGTTTTGTTCTTGAGCTCAATAGATCTGTGGTCAGATATGAATGTCACTTGTCCATGTTTTTTGAACTGACATATCAAATTTATCCATCAATAGAAAAAGAAACTTTTGTGAGCCCCACCAAATCTATCCAAGCAGAGATGCAGTCATTTTTTTAAAACTTTCTTTGCTTAGCACCTAATTAATCTCTAGGACGGTGCTGCTCCATCCTATATTTTGGCACTTTGTCTTACTTGTGTAACAGGATATTCCATGATGATTTCTAGTTCAGCAGCACTTAACTTGGTCTCTTGTCCTTCCTCCCCTAGGGTGAAGCTGGCCCCGCTGGCCCCGCTGGTCCCACTGGTGCTCGTGGTGCTCCTGTAAGTACTCCTTCTTGTGAAATTCCTCCATCTCAGACCTCTCTCTCTCTCTCTCCCTCCTTTCTTCTTTATCCTACCTTCCTTATTCCCATCACTGATCAAGTATGTTTCTTGCTTTTCGTTCCCAGGGAGATCGTGGTGAACCTGGCCCTGCAGGACCTGCGGGATTTGCTGGCCCCCCTGTTAGTATGATTCCAAACTCTTGTGCTGCATCATATGGTCAGGCTTGATGCACATTCTGTGCTTGGGGCGTGGGGGGGGGGTGAGCCGTGCTCTGTGGAAATTGCAGGATGGAAGTAACACAGGGAACAGACAGAAACGGAAAAATAGAACAGAAACTGCTACCAGAAACAGTAAAAGCACATTAACAGGTGAACTCTGGTAGAGGAAAATGGAATGCTTCAAGTTATTGAAATTGGTCAGATACATGTAACAAACAAAATGCCAATTTCTGAGCATTTTCAGTTCTTACTCCTTAACTACTACAGCAGTCAGGTAGGCACGAAACTGTATATTGCCGGGGTGACAAAATTGCCTTTTGCAGTGCTTCTTTAAGATGACTCAGGATTACATACTAGTCACAGTTTCTTCAGTACTTCTGGGTCTGGCAAAGACACAAGTCTCATTTTATTTGACTTCCCAACAAACTTTTAAGGTTGAGTAAGCTGTGAGAAATGCAAAGATTGACCCTAAAGACATTCTGTGAGCTCACATCTGAAATTTTAGGGATTTCACCCTGGCTCTCCATGCCCAGAAGTTTGTCCACTGAACCACAAAAGACTGATTCCACCATAATAGCAATGGAGAGGTAAATCAGGAACTGAATCTCCTAGAACTGATCAAGTTACCACCTCCTTTCCAGACTGAGCAAACTAGCTTCTGATTCCGCATGCCCATGTTTGGATGACACAGGAGTGGAAGTTAAGGCAGACTGCTGGAAGTCATATGGTCTTCAAGGAGATAGTTTAGTTTGATATGCTTGAATGAGTACATATCATATAACTAAGATACCATTTCCATCCCATTGTTTCTCACCAGCTGTTCTTTTCTTACCTCCTTAGGGTGCGGATGGACAACCTGGTGCTAAAGGTGAAACTGGTGATGCTGGTGCTAAAGGTGATCCTGGTCCTCCTGGTCCTGCTGGAGCCACTGGACCCCCTGGACCTGCTGTAAGTGACTCCTCATTGTTTCTCAATCTCTTCTGGGAAGCTTTAACCTTCTATCGACCTTTGGCGTAATGCTCCTGTCTTTCCACCTATTGCAGGGCCCTATTGGTGCTCCCGGAGCCAAAGGTGCTCGTGGAAGTGCTGGACCCCCTGTGAGTATCTGCTTCTGAACTACTGAACTGGATGCAAGTTAAAAGATGAGGCTAGAGATGCATCAAATCATCATTCACATCCACCAAAATTTTGTATCTCAAGAACATCACTCTACTTCTTCCTAGTTCATTAAAAAATAGATTATGGATGAGGAAAGTAATTGAACTAGTAATCTAACAAATATAAAATATAGAAAGGATGCAACTTTTGCTCAAGGAGATTACAATGTATTTTAGATAGACAAGATAGGCTTCTTTAACACCTCTTCCAAAATAGTTTATATCTAAAAGGGATTGGGTACTTTACAGTAAAGGTCTCTGCATATGCCCAGAGGCAATCATTAGCCAGCGTAATTCAAGTAATGCATGATATAGAAAGAATCACATTCCAGAACTTGATGCCAGCAACTCTTCCCTGAAATTCAGTACTACTGTAGTTTCACTAGCTTAAGAACAAATGTAGATTACCTATATGAAAAAGCCTAGCCACATTTGATAGAGATATGAGGCTCCACAGAAAGGTGTTATATTTATGGCTTTCTCCAAACAAATTGTACTCCATATTTCTGAATCTCTCTGTGCAAGAGAAATAGTGATGTTTTGGCAAGATGCCAGACAGGTTGAGAAAGCATTTTTCTGTTGCAATAATCTTGGTATTGCAAATAGGTTTCTGTATCGAGACTAAGACAACCCTCAAATTAAGACAAAATCCACTTGACTCACTGTGGGATCAACACACACACAAGTACAGTTTTGTGGGAGCTATTGATAATGGAATCTTCTAATTATTTTGATAGGGTGCTACTGGATTCCCTGGAGCTGCTGGAAGAGTTGGACCCCCTGGCCCATCTGTGAGTACCCTCCTCCTGTGAATGCACCTTTTGGTATAGTTGGCAGCTCTCTGGAAAACTACTATACAATTCCCAGTTGGCTGACAGCATGAAAATACTCAGTAAAAGATTCCTAAAAGATCCAATGAAGATGTATGTTTTCTTCTTCAGCAGAGAAAAAGAAAATTGGTAGCCATTAACAGGGGAAAAAACAGATATGAGAATAGTGCAGAAGCCATTCAAATCTGAATATGTAGTGAGTTGGATCCAGACTTGTACTTGGGTCCCACTGAAATTAGTTGGATGAATAAATAACTCAACTAGAGTACTAAATGCATCTAGCTTAGTGATATCCAACTTCATGTTTTTTGTTTGAATTAAAAGCTTCAAAAAGCTTTCTATTTTGAAGTGAATTTTACATGCATTTTTACTGCAAATCCAGTGTTTCAAATTTCAGCCAATATAAAATAAACTTTAGACACAGGATAAAATGTTGGACTTTATGTGTTAGGGTGCACCATTTGAAACATTTGTGATGTGTTTTAAGTAGCATCATTAAAGCTTGAGTTTAAATTGAATTTAAAAATTGAGTTTACATTTAATTTAAAATATTTCAAATTTTTAAATTCATATGTTCCACATGATGAGCATTCACTGAATCATCAGTTTGGTGGGCATTGAACTACAGCTCTGTACAAGAGAGAGGCAGGATAGACAGAAACTATTTGGGCATACTGAATACTATTGACTTAATAGTCATTTTTTCTTCCTGAGAAATTCTAAGATTTGTAGGTAGCAAGATGAGGTTCAAGATTTTTAAGAGATCAGCAACTTGCAATCCCAGGATGCATCAGGGAAAATCATGACAGATACAATTATCTGTTCATTGTCACATCAATGTACCTTATTTGGAACTGTCCATAAAGCCACCAGGAAGATTAGTTTAAACTGTGGTGGTCCATCTATTCCTAACATTTAGGAACACATAACTAAAATAAACAAGCCCGGCTTTGAATGCCTTTCTTCCACCTGGTGCCCTACATACATGCTGGACTACAACTCCCAATACCCCCAGCCAGCACTGGAAGCCAGGCTGGGAAAATTCTTCTCATTTCTTGAGTGATCACACCCACCCTGAACATGATCACAACCCATCCAGGGGTCCTTCCCCTAGGAAGCTCCACTGGGATGGCATTCCATGCAACTTAGCCTCTTGGCTGTAGCTGCGAGAGTTACTGAGTTGCCTTTTCTCTTCTTTCCCTAAAGGGTAACATCGGACTTCCCGGCCCACCAGGCCCTGTTGGAAAGGAAGGTTCCAAAGGACCCCGTGGTGAGACTGGACCAGCTGGCCGCCCCGGTGAAGCTGGACCTGCTGGCCCACCTGGACCTCCTGGTGAGAAGGGATCTCCCGGTTCTGATGGACCTGCTGTAAGTAAATGCCACATGCTTCTCTTTAGTGTATTAACTAGAGCCAAGCTTGGCATCTTCTCCATGGAAGTCTCATTTTCACATGAGCTCCAGACAAGCAATCACACATTTAATGCTAATAATTCTTCTCGCTTAAGTTGATTTTAAAATGTCCAACTTCCTGGTGTTGATGCCTCATCACCCAGCTCTGCAAATCTCTGTAACTGCATGTCTTCATGGAAAAGTATGCATCCACTGGAATATTCAAATTAAATAGCTACATTTTTAGTGTCTATGACTAAAATTAAAAATGGTGGTTTCCTACTTTACATGCTACATGAACCATGTTCACTAGCTTGCTTGAAAGGTTAGGAATAAAAATTATGAAAAAAGAAGTCTTACATAGACAGTCACATATTATCCCTTTCAAAGGACTCTTATCTGAAGAAAAATTCCATAGCCAACCTGTCAAAGGACAACGGGATGTTAACTGCTTTTAGGCACAGCACGGATTATTTTTTTAAAATTAGAAGTACCGAGATTGCTCACAATGTAAAAAGGAGTCAGGATGTTCACCATGCTCCTTCAGGCAAGCCATCTGGATTCTTGTCTCCCAGACTGCTCTGGTTCACAGAAATACCAGTCTACCCCTTGCTGGTGTTCCATAGTTGCTGCTCATGCCTTGCTCCTCAGCAACAATCTTTCCATGGAATACCATATTATTAATGCAGATGAAATTTGTCCCTCCAACCAAAGCAGTTCTTTGTTGACGTCTCACTCATTCGTGTTTCTTCTCTCTTGCTTCTATAGGGTGCCCCTGGTACTCCTGGCCCACAAGGTATTGCTGGACAACGTGGTGTAGTTGGTCTTCCTGGACAAAGAGGCGAGAGAGGTTTCCCTGGTCTTCCCGGACCATCTGTGAGTATTTCCTTTGTGTTCTTCTACTACGTCTAATAAAATAGGATACAGATTTGTCCTGAGCTTTGCGGGGCAGATGTTGGTCTTCAGGGCAAGGGAACAGCAGAGAGATTTTCTTGGGGGCAGGAGTATGTCTCTTAAGTGGACTTAGCCATTCATGGGGATGCAGAGTCTAAAATGAAACTGTCATCAGTTTCTGATCACACAACATGAACGCTGTACTTGGGATAAGAGGCCAAAAGAACTTGAGAAAATATGGCAAAATCTGATTCTCAGTTTCAGTGATACTTCCTCAGGTTTTGTCTCTCCCACCTCTTGTGCTAAACATATGCATATGGAAGTGTGTATTTATATCAGTGGTACATTTCCAGGGGAGAGGCATTAAGATTGTAGTTCACATTCCAAAGAAAGGCTTCTTCCCAAACAAAGATTACTTTTGCTTCCTTTTGGTGGTCATTTTTTTTACTACTATACTGTAGGCTGAAAGTCATGTCAAGAACCATGAAAAACGTAGTTTACAATCCAGCCTATAAATGCTTAAAAGTCAACACATTTCTCATCATCTCTAGGGAAGCTTGTTGTTCACCTTAAACACAGGCCCAGAGATAGGATCTCCCAAAATATAAACGTTGCATTCATCTGCTCACATTTTAAACTGAGCAACTTTGCTAGGCCTTTGAAATAGATTCAACAGATGTTCTGTGTTTTAAGGGCTGGTCTTTTCTTTGAGGAGCCCTGCATGCTTAGAAATGGCAGCTCACAGTTTCCTGGAATTCTCTTTTAAATAAATTATCCACAGCTCCATGAAACAAAATATTCCACAGCAGCATGAATTACTAGAGCTGAAACAAATTCCAGAAGAAAAGTTCTCACATGGATTCTCCTGGCTCAAATTTGCATGCAACGTCCTGAACATATATTCTCCTAGTTATAAGGTTTTTCCATTATATATGCAGTTGGACTTAGAATTGGGTGAGAAGAAAAAAATTGTTTTAGCAAAACAGGTTTTGGCAGCAGAAAGAGGATGTGTTAAGAATTAGTTTTCAAAAGTGAAACAAATTCAGCTTGTGAATTTATAATCTATAAATCAAATGATAAACTTTGCACATTTTTTCATAAATACTAGAGAGAACAGTGCTCTAAACCTTACAGAACAAATGATAATGCCATAGAAATCTGTAAAACACATCCATGTCTTACTAACACTCTATAGAACAAATGTTTCCCCAGTGATTCGTTAGGAGAATTATACATCAAATGAATATAAAATTCCATGGAAACTATACCCCCAACTCCTCTTCTCTACCCCAGGACCTTCCTTAGTATCAGGACAACTGAGGTAGCTGCCTAAGTCAGCTGATTTTGGATATTGGGAAAGGGCAGAAAGCTGTTAGCTATTTAATTTAGCATTACTGTATTTTGACTACCAGTGTAAGAAAAGATACTTGCAGGATTCTCTGTCTCAGGTGTCTAAATAATTTGTTTGACCATGGGTACTGTGTATCTTTACTAAGGTGGATTCAGATATTATTTTCCTCCTCTTTTCACTCTCTTTCCACTCTTCTCAGTTAATTCTTTCTTCATTGCTTGCTCTCTCTGTGTTTTTGTTATAACTGTGAATGATTTCCATAGGGCGAGCCTGGCAAACAAGGTCCATCTGGTTCTCCTGGTGAACGTGGTCCTCCTGGTCCAATGGGACCACCTGGCTTGGCTGGACCCCCTGGTGAAGCTGGACGTGAGGCAAGTTTTCATATTTCTACAAAACTCAATGCTCCTAAATCCATCTATTATTCTCTTTCCTCTGTGGAACCCCAGCTCTGTTACCATTAACTATAACATAGGGTCCAAACCAAACTGTACAAATAGGAGTAAGACCATAACTCATTGGTATAAAACACACTCAGCGCACTGGATGTTTCAGGTTTAAGTTAAAAGTATCTTAGTTGCAGGGCCAGGAAAGATCTTGGGCTGAAGCCTTTGAGGTCAAAGCCAATCAAAGTCAACAATACTAGGTTAATGGATTAATGGTATCTTCAGAAAGGGACCATAAAGTGTGTTGGCACATGGTTTGCTTGTAGAAGGCCCCCTTGGCATCTTCAGTAAGCCTGAGAAAGATCTAGGAGAGATGCAGAGCTAGAGAAAACAAAAGTTTGAATCAATCTAAGGCCACTTCCTAAGTTTATTGAGCAATTTCTTCTTGCTGAGTAAATATATGTGATTGGATTAATATATCTCGGGCAGGGAACTGAGAATGCTTAGTACAGTGTAGGTATCCCTTGCTTCCTAGAAATTCATTAACAATTTCTATGATCTCACTTTCTTTTTCTCCTGCTTTCTCTTCTCGGTTCATAGGGTGCTCCTGGTGCCGAGGGTGCTCCTGGACGTGATGGTGCTGCTGGTCCTAAGGTGAGTTATATATGGACAAGATAGTTGTATTTGGATAACTTCAACATGAAAGGATGGCCCTGCACTGATTCTGATCATTGATCCTCTCTTCTTTTCCTTTCCTAAATAGGGTGATCGTGGTGAGACTGGCCCAGCTGGTCCTCCTGGTGCTCCTGGTGCCCCCGGTGCCCCTGGCCCTGTTGGCCCTGCTGGCAAGAATGGAGACCGTGGTGAGACTGTAAGTGGCACTTTCTTTAATTTTCTATCACATGAAATATATGGCCAAAAAGGAGCCCTTTTTGGAATCCCCATTCCTTCCTCTTCCAAACGGTACTGAGCCACATGCAACTCCAAGTCAATTAACTAGAATAGCTGTCAGCCTAGCATACTATTACCACACTTAGCTTCAGTGTTTCACAATTGCTAAAGACAAATATGAAAGATTATACCTCTAATGGAATTAAGTTGCAACATACACCACTTCTGGTTCTCTGCTCACATTACTTTTCATTCTGCACTAATGCATTTAGAATTATATCCAGTGGTGGCTGCACATTCATTTCATTTATATCCTGCCTTTCTTCCATAAAACTCAAGGCAGTGTACTTTGGTGATGGGAGAGTATCTCAGGTGCTCCAGATTCTGACCATATTCTGACCTGGTTAGCTTCTGAAAAATGGATGTATCATATGCCTTCAGACTATCGTAGGCCACGAAATATAGTCTAGGCTTTAAGCTGATGGCTCTTGCCAACAAATCTTTATCTATACTGTTTTGAACCCCAGATATCTGCTTAATTTCATAGTCATGGGAGCAGAAAAAGAAATCCAGGGCACTGCCTCATCATTAAAAATGCTTTGCTCCTCCTAGGGTAAAATATAATAAATGACCACAAGTGCTTGTTTCTGTGCTCTCACGAAAACACACCCTTACAAGGACTGAGTTGTAAAGCAACAGGCTACATGCCCAGTTCTGCATGAAAATGTTTAATTAATGATATGTGCATTTTCCCTTTCTCTTTTCTTCTAGGGTCCTGCTGGCCCTGCTGGTCCCGCTGGCCCTGCTGGTGCTCGTGGTCCTGCTGTAAGTTTGGAGTTAACCACATTCCTTACAAAATGAAAGGATTACATAATATAAATATGCTAGAATCATTGCTCTTAAGATTGTTTCAAAATGGGTGCTATTTTATAATAGCTGACCTGATATAATAGAATATTTGTTGTCCATAGATCAGTGTTATCTTTAGAAGAGAGATCTTTAAAAGAGCTATCTCTTTAGAAGACTGATAAAAAAAGAACTTTTAATAGTACACCTTCATATTTATTTATTTGATTTATATCCTACCTTTTTCTTTTTTAAAGAACTCAAAGCGGCTTACATAATTCTGCATTTCATCATATCCACATCATGCACTGGCTCCACCAATTTTTATTTCTATTTGTTTTGCTTTTGCTTTTGAAAGCCCATAAAACTAATGTTTAATTCTTGGTTTGCATTTCCAGGGCCCTCAAGGTCCTCGTGGTGACAAGGGTGAGACTGGTGAACAAGGTGACAGAGGCATGAAGGGTCACAGAGGATTCTCTGGTCTCCAGGGTCCCCCAGGTCCCCCTGTGAGTATCAATAAATCCTGCCTTTTTGATGTAGAACAAACGCACATGTTGCAAAGCCCCAGACCTGCCTGCCATGAACAATTTGCAGCTCTCGCTTATTTAAGCTTGCAGCCTTCATTAATTAAACAAAAGCATTAAATGTTCTCACAGAGATTTCAAGTCATATATGTCCGAATGCACAATGCTAGCTGACAGCACTTTGCAGTCTTGGAACACCAGCCTTCCTTCCAAGGTTAAGACTATAGTCCTAAGCATGCTTACCCTAAGGTAAAGCTCCTTGAATTCAGTGGCGTTTACGTCTAAGTAGACCCACCCAGAACAGCTCTTTCAGATGGTTTTTAAAAAGTATTAGACATATTTATGGAGCATAGCCCTACCAATAGCAAATATAACTATAACTTGCCTGTACAGAAGCAAACTGAATACAAATAACAGGGGACAGCTGTCCCCCATCTTGCCCTACTTATGAGCTCTCCAGAGGCATTTAGTTCAAAAACAAATGGCCCTTAATCCAATCCTCCAGCCACTTCCTCTGCAAGAAACAAAAGCAATAGTTTGTTTCCACAAGGAAATGCCATCTTTGATATCATCTTGATTCAATCTTGTGGGGGACAAGGAGGGGCCTTCCATATCTGTTCGGTTCTTGGAGAGTCCTAAAGCCATTTTATTTGTTGTCACTCTTGCCAGTAAATCATTTTTCATTTACAGTTAACTACACCAATTAATTAAACAAGTCTTGCTGCTCTAAAAGTTTGTAGTGCTTTGTTTCCCAGGTATCTCCAGATTTTTTTTTTCCCTCTCCAAGGCTGTTTATCTCTCACACTTTTTGTTAAAACAAAAATGTCACAAGGATTTCCTTGTTGTCATTTACACTTACATCCACCCTGCTATGCCCTATCATCAGAAGGCAAGGCCTGCCATTTTGTAGAGTTGTCCTGAGGCCCAAAGCAGGAGGCATTTTTTGGTGCAGAGTTGTCACTGGTCAATAGTCTTGATCGATAGTGAAAGCAGGTTTGGGCCCATCACACTGAGAGAGAAGTAAATATCTTTTTTTGATATGTAGAGATTAGTTTTCCATGATTTCTTCAGTGTCCATTGATAGTATGGCACACTCAACTACTTTGTCAGGTAGACTACATAGATGGAAAAATGCTACAAGGAGATGACAAATCACTTTAGATCTCTAAAACCCAAAAGCAGTCTGTGTTTTATACAGTAGCTGTTTGGTTGCCTCTTGCTCCCAAGTGCAAAAGGTTTATCCAACATTTCTGAAAATGCACAATATATTTTATGCATCCACAACTGGTTGCATGCATTTATTTCCATTATTTATTCCTCCCAGGGACTAGAAATCATATTGCTGAAGGGTTTCCATTCAGCACTAAAAAAAAGATTGACATGTGTATGCTTTCCATTGTGCTGAGCAAATGTAGTAGTTCCACTTGGGGGGGGCATGTGGGGTCTCAATTAGAGACAGAGCCATTGAGCACAGCCAGGAGACTTAACATGACATGTCTGAATAATAGGCCACTTCCAGGCTGTATAGTGACTTCACTGTTACAAGTATGACCACAGCTTTCCTTCTTCCAGGATGATTATCTAGTTGAATTGACCATTGCTTCTTTTCTGTAGGGTTCTCCTGGTGAACAAGGTCCCTCTGGTGCTTCTGGCCCTGCTGGTCCAAGAGTAAGTATAATTGTTTTGTGACGTTATAACACTCCAGGGAGGAATCACTGAGCTCTGGGGGGAAAGTGAAATCCCCAAGGAGTTGATAAAGCAAATACTAAACAGCAGCCACCATATCTCAATTATAGTGTGAAAAAGCTGTATACTTGTGCCACACATAGCCATCCAAGTAATTGAGGCTACAGTCCTATGTGCAAAAGTATGGGAGTAAACCCATCTGCACACACCAGGACCTACTTTTGACTAAACATCCATAGGATTGGGCTGTAAAACACAGTCTTTACAAGCAATATGGCAGTAAGTTTGTAGAGTTCTCTAATGTGTAGAAAAAGGCAACATTTAATGGCAGGAAAAGAAAACCCTCAAGGGTCTGTACAAACTTCCAAATTGCTACTGAAAATCCTGTTCAAGATTAATGTCAGTATACCTTGTTAAATGTGCTTTGCTGTTCTTTCTTCTCGACAGGGTCCTCCTGGCTCTGCTGGGGCCGCTGGCAAAGATGGTCTGAATGGTCTCCCTGGTCCCATTGGCCCACCTGGTCCCCGTGGTCGTACTGGTGATGCTGGCCCTGCTGTATGTATCCCATCAAATCGTGAAAGTTTTATCATTCAAATGCATTGGGAGGAAGAAAAGTTTACCTCCAACTCCTTTTCTTTTCCAGGGCCCCCCTGGACCTCCTGGCCCACCTGGTCCCCCAGGCGCACCTAGTGGTGGCTTTGACTTCAGCTTCTTGCCCCAGCCTCCTCAAGAGAAAGCTCATGATGGCCGCTACTACAGAGCTGATGATGCCAATGTGATGCGTGACCGTGACCTTGAAGTTGACACTACCCTCAAGAGCCTTTCCATGCAGATTGAGAACATCCGTAGCCCTGAGGGAACCCGTAAGAACCCTGCCCGCACTTGCCGTGACCTGAAGATGTGCCATGGAGACTGGAAGAGCGGTGAGTGCAGGCAACTCTGAACTGCTGAAGTGGTACTCCCTTTAGGGCCATGAAGTCTGGATAATGCTCTTCTCTTCATTCATGCCTCTTCTACTATTAACCTTTCTCTTCCTCTCCTTCTTCTGCTTGGGCTTTGTTCACATTACCACTCATAGCTGTGAATTCAGGTCAGGGGCCAAGAATGGATTTCCCTCCAGATATACAGATTTCTCTCCAGAGCAGATTGCCAGATATACTGCCTGTTCTCTGCTGATAATTCTTGCAGCCTATTATCTGCTGATAATTCTACAAGATGTTTATCTCTCTACAGAGTGTGACTTGCATTTGCTTAGGCCTTTGTCAAAGAGTGAGGTGGGCTTGCCAAGGTTCCTGGAAATAACTACCAACTCTGGTCACTCAGTCTCTTTCCTGACTCTATCCAGTCTCCCACATACAATAAATATATCTTGGTCAAAGATATATATGCCAAGATAAGCCATCTTGCTGGAGAGTGGTGGGACAGCCATCTCTTTTTTACAATACATATCCTTTCACCGCTCATACATACTAAAATCTGTGCCTTTCTTCTCTATCTTCTAATTTAATTTGTTTTCCTTTAATCTGGTAGCCTGTTTTAAACTGGTAGGTGTAAGTGCATAGTTTGAGAATACTCACTTGCACAATATCTGTAAACTCATAGCACAGAGAAATCTGTAGGAGAGGAGAAAGCAGGAAAGACACCTGGATGGCCAGTCTCCTATTGGAGTAGCAGGTTGAATTAAAAGGTCTTTTTGCTCCTTCCATGATTGTTTCTCCATCAACTCACTCACTTCCTCTTCTTTATCAGGCGAGTACTGGATTGACCCCAACCAAGGCTGCAATCTTGATGCTATCAAGGTTCATTGTAACATGGAGACTGGAGAGACCTGTGTCTACCCAGTTCAGGCTAAGACTGCCCTGAAGAACTGGTACATCAGTAAGAACCCCAACGAGAAGAAGCATGTCTGGTTTGGCGAATCAATGAACGGAGGCTTCCAGGTGAGACGAAGCATCAGTGAGACATAAAAGCTTAAGCAACAGCAAGTACTCTTAGCAGGGACTGGGGAGAGTTATTTCATGGTCATGTTTGTTCTAGCTCATCTCCTTAAGCTGGTATTCATATGAATTTCCCAAGGATCATATGTGGAAAACTTCCCCCAGGAAGAAGAGCTCAGTGAATCCTTGTTTAAGGACAAAGTTCAAGGTCATTTAACATAGGAAAAAGAGATTGTGAAGGGTCGTAACAGTAGCCTTAATGCACATGCAGGACAAGCCATAAGGAAACTAGGAATCTACATCTGTTCAGCACGTCTGCCATAGGTTAGGCAAGAAAGAATACATTCCAATAGTGACCAGAATGATTCAAGTTGGACAATATGAAAAACTGAAAGGGTGGAGGAGCCCTGAGAAGGCTGTGGAAATTTGTATTGCCATAAGTCTTAAAAAAGCTTCTTGGACAAATATTTGGTAGGGTTTGGCACTTGATCCATGAAGCAGAAGGAGCTGGATGATCTCCTGAGGTCACTTCCAGTTCTATACCCAAGGATATCCAGTAGGCCAGAATGGACAGGGTAAGGCAATTTCTCTTTGCCAAAGAGGTTGAAGTAGATGACTTGCTGCTTGAAGGAAGTTGGACTTGATTGTCAAAACAGTGTCTGTTGTCGAAAGCCACTTGGCATGCTAGGGTAGCTAACTCAAGAGAGACTTAGCTGGAGCAATTGGAAAAACCAGTTGCAGATTTGTCTCTGCATCACATGGGTCCCCAGGTTTTTGACTCCTTAAGGAGGGCTCCTGTGAATTTGTCATGAACCACACTTTTCCTGCTTTATTACCAGGCACCCTGAACATGGAGAGAAACTGAAGAGACCAGCTAGGTTTCCAAGTTTTCTAGGTTTCTGGAAGGGATTTCTAGAAGAGGTAACATGAGCACTAAGCATTTTCTCACCTTCTTTTCTCACCTTCCCTTGCAGTTTGAATATGGTGGTGAGGGATCCAACCCAGCTGATGTTGCTATCCAACTGACTTTCTTGCGCCTGATGTCCACTGAAGCCTCCCAGAACATCACCTACCACTGCAAGAACAGTGTGGCTTACATGGATGAAGAGACCGGCAACTTGAAGAAGTCTTTGATTCTCCAGGGCTCCAATGACATTGAGGTCAGATCAGAGGGCAACAGCCGCTTCACCTACGAATCCACCGAGGATGGCTGCACGGTGAGTCCTTGGATCTTTAGTTGGGTAGCCAGCCTGCAGTAAGACTCGTATGAGTACCAACTGCTTTTTAATCATTACAGACTTAGAACATAGAATACAGTGTTTTACTAGTTGTCAGGTGAGAAGGGTCACCCGTTTCCCTTTGAGCCTGCCACTAAATCCTTTTTCCATGCTTTGTAACTGGGATTAATTGCCAGGAAGACAAACCACGTCTTGGATATTAACCCAAAAAATTCCAATGGATATGAAAGCATAGAGCCAGAGGCTAGGGAAATAGGATTATGTAGGGCTGTGAAAGTCAAGGTTGCAGGCAGATACTCCAGTGCAATTAATTCTATTATTATTAACATCATCACAATTTCACAATGAATATGAGAAAACATTTCTCAATAGATAGTCCGGATGCTTGTGTGCACTGAAGTATAGTGCATGATGGAAAGAATTCAGCCCCAGGAGCCTTAGAAGTCTGTTTAGTTGTACACACAATTCTGATTTCTCCTTGCTCTCCTTTCTTCTGCAGCGTCACACTGGTGAATGGGGAAAAACAGTCATCCAATACAAGACAACAAAAACATCCCGGTTGCCCATCATTGATGTGGCTCCCATGGACATTGGTGCCCCAGACCAGGAATTTGGCTTTGAGTTTGGACCTGTCTGCTACTTGTAAACCGAAAAGGAAACCTGACAGTTTAAAAAATAAAATAAAAAACAGCCAAAAAAGAAGGAAATTTCACATGGACTTGAATTTGTGTCTTTTTCTATCCATCATCTCTAAAACTATTTTCATTTCCGTTAAAAAAACAAAAAAAAAGCATTAAACCAAAAAAATAAATGACTTTTCAAAAATAATTAAGGAAGTGCATCCACTTGCTTGACTTTTTTTTAATTAAACCCCCCCAAAGACAGAATGGTTTGGTTTTCTCTTCTTCTTTTTTAGATTGTAATATCTTGGGACCACTATTTGCACATTCCAGAAAGACATATATATATAAAAACCATACAAAAAGATGAAATCAGTCCAAACCAAGCAACACCTGAAGTATTACAACTGCCAGTTTTGAAAAATCTGTTGTTTCCACAGCAACAACAGCAGTGCTAAATTAGTAGCAGAACCTGCCCATCACACCCCCATTTAAAAAAAAAGAAAAATCCATCCACCCCCACCACTTAACCTGGAGTTGGGGAAAAAACCCTCAAAACTTACCTAGAAGCCATCATTCTCTGCCAGTACTTTTATATGCAGAGATATTTCTGTTTTTTTTTCACAGAGCAATACCACTGAAATATTATTTCAGCCATGTAAAATGTACATTTTTTTCTGTTTTGTTCAGTCGGCAATAGAAAGAAATTTGACAAAGACTTTATCAGTGCAGGTGTACTGAGTGGCTTCAAAAAGGTACTAGCTTTGATCGAAGGAATGGGTGAATAACTATCCCTCTGAAAGAGGCCAGAGATTATTTGTTTTTAAGTAAAACAGGTTAGCAAAGAATAGGTTTAAGAGCTACAAATACTTTGTCGGTGAACAACTGAAGGGGAAAAATGGGCAATAATACCAGAAAACAGAGAAAATGTAATGTTAAATGTATATTATTGTTGTATGGAAGGCTACCTCACCTTTTATCATTTTCAAGTTCTTTGGGGTAGTTTCGGGGGATTTTTTTTTAAAGCCAGCACCAGGTTACAGCAGAGTGGAGGAAGTTAGGCAGGGTTCCAAGTTTAGCTAAAGGTGCTATCTGTGTCTATATATATATATATTTCTTTTTTAGTCAGCTATGTTAATAATTTTAGGGTCCCATGGAGTTATTTTTTGAGCTGATGAAACTTATAAAAACCTCTCCCTTCACCCTGAAGCGTGTTGCTAAGCAGGGCCATTTGGTGCTATAGAAATGAGATTATTGTGGGGAGGAGGAGGAAAATTGAGGCCTTGCTTGTGAACTTTCAAAAAGGTGCTATTTTTTTTTCTTTTTGAACAAGCAAAAAATCCAGGATGAGAAAAAAATCAAACTTTGCTACAAGGGATCAAGGTCTGAGCAGTTTGTCTTTCTCTTGTAAAGCAGGTGGATTCCCTTTTTGCTTGCTTTTTTTCCTTTCATCTAGTTCGTCTCCTCCATCCTCTTCCATTTCTCATTTCACCCTGCAAGCAAACTCCTGTGCCAAGCCTTCCTGTTCGCCCATGGTCCTCATGCATCCTTTTCTCCTTCTCCATCTCTTCTTCTCTGCTCTCCCAGTCCACACCTTTCTCCCACCCTCCACCCCTGTCTTTTGGTGGGTTTCCAATGCAAGCAGACCCCTTCCTCTCTTTACCAAGAGTTCTAGGGAGTGTGAGCGACCGAAGATTCTGTACCTATTTTGTATATGTATAATAATTTGAGATGTTTTTAATTATTTTGACTGCTGAAATAAAGCATGTGAAATGATCCAAATACACCAGTTGTTCTTCAGACTTTTTCTGTCACACAAGGCCAGAAGCTGGTTCGGGGGTCGGCTGGGGAAGGGGGCAAAACAGGGCGATGCTTTCTACGTTCTGTGAATGTGTGGACACTTCGCATTTAAACCATTTCGACAGAAATATGCACTTATCAGTGTTTTGTTTTGCTTTAAAAAAACTGTCATGGCTTTCCCCAGGAGAACCAGTGGCTGTAATTTTGTGAGGGTGCTGAGACATTTTGATCACAGTGTTTTCCCCATGGGTTTTCTTAGTGGAAGCCATGAGAGTTAAGCAGGTTTACATTTGCAGTATAGGTGCTTAGGCAGAGTCTAAGGAAAGTAATCTAGCTATTTGCTGCTGTTCTTTTGCTTAATTTATCTAACAGTCCTCACCTTGCACGACCCTTTCCATCTTACTCTTACATGCCTGGCATTCCTTCTCTGCACGCCAAAAATCTTCTGGATCTGGTCAATATTTCTGCTCCTCCCTCCAGCCCTCCTGGGACCAACCTGAGCACCCTTTTCATGGAGCCCCTGCTGCTGCTCTACATTTTAACACCAAGAAGAAGAAGAAATTAAGCAGTAAAGCAACTCTCCTCACTTTACCTTCCTGCAAGAAAAGTTGGGCGATACATTCCTGAATGCCTCAGGCTGCTGACAAGGCCTGGACTCAACCAGGCAGCAAAAAAAGTCACTAGACCTAATTCTCATGCCTCATCAGTTCAGCAAATTTAATATTTTTTTCCTCACTTCTGGGAGGCTGTTTCCAAATATTTGCACTTTGGCACTTTCCCCACATGAATTCCCTGATAATTTTCATTTCTCTTTTCCCCCTTTTATAAAGAGAGAAGTTTGAAGGGAAGTAAACAAACACGTGTTTTTGCCCCACCATTGAGTAAAAATAGCAAGGTCGCAGAAGGAACAACTCTAGTTCAGGACTAATACAAATATAAAGCTGTGGACTTACCTGAGGAAGATGATGTTCCTCAAGGCCCTAGTAAATAAAATATAAAATAAAATAAAATAAAATAAAATGCCTCTGAGATTTTTCCACCCTGAAAAGTGACTAAGAATACTTTTTAATCTCTTCTCTGTCCCTCACATTCTTTGGTGAACCTAAGAATTTTTTTCTTTTAAAAGACGTGTTGTTATTACAGAAACTACAACCCCAATTCTTCCAGAACATGGCTGCTCCTCAGAAGAGCCACCCCAATTTTGCAGAGCTGTCTTCACCTGCTGAAATGTGCTCTTGCATATGTTCTTTAAAAAGCAGGTTTGTTCCTGCCCAACAGTCCAGACTCCCTGCCCTTGAAGCCTTGCACTCCAAAGTATGCAGTGAGACCTTGTGGTTGCTTGGTTCTGAGGAAAAAGGCACTCCATGCATGTTCAGAGGCACCTCCCTATATTGCTGCTTCACAAGGAGTGGAAAACAGATTTTCAAAGATGAAAACTGAACACACATGGAACTCTGATCCTGCCCACGAATCTTAAGCCGCGAGGAACACATTTTTCTCCCAGTGCCTCACAGGCTCCCTCTTCTTGCGCCAGCTTCACAGCCTCAAGAAATACACACTTGCTTCATCCCAACTTCCATTAGCTTTTGTTCTTCAGATCCTTCTTCTGCTTTTCCAGCAGCTACACACTCTTTTCACACTGTCTCGACTCTCCTTCGCCATTCTCCCATTAGTTCCAGTACTTACCAGTCAATCCTTGTTCATTCACTCTCAGTCTCTCTCCCCTGCCCTCCGCTATCCAGCTCCTGGCTTTTCTGAGATCCTTGCAAAAGTGAACTTGCTCTTCCTTTTTCTTACCTGACATTCTGGACAGTAAACAAGCAAGAATCAAACCCTCCTTCCCCATCAAATGTGAGAGTTGGCGCTCCCTCCCCCACGCGCCAGGAAAGCTGGATACCATTCAATGGTTCCCATTCAGAAACTAGCAAGCAGAGGGGGCTCTTTGCATCAAAGGCTGCTTTGTCGATGGGAAATGTACACCAGAGGCATCACACATAGCAAATATTTTGCCCCTTCCACAGAGGCCTGGTTGCAAGGGCAGCAAAGCCTGGCTGCCTCCCCCTGCTGCTGCTGCTGTCACTGCTGAATAATGAAATCTTTAAAAAATGGATGGCTGTTTGTTTACATTTTCAAAATAGCAAACAGCTGTCCAGAACACCCCAAGGGCCTGATCGAGGGCGATGAAGGAATAATCTCCACAGTTTGTACTCTTAACACTGCCAGGGCCTGGAAGCCTTTTCCGTCTTCTCTCACCTCCTTCAAACGCGTCTGCAGAAGTCAGATGCACAGCAAATCCTGGCTGAACCTACCCTTGCCTCAATTTCTATTGCTATTTGACACAAATGCCACTTTGTGTACCCTTTGATACTCCCTGAGAGTTGTCAGACCAGGGCCTGCCCTACTATTAAACAGAAGTTGTCCCAGGCGGCAGGTGCTGGAAGGTGTTGGAGAAAGCTATAGGTCATGCAGCCTGCCCTGTCCCCGACACTCCCAAGCTAACCTCCAGGTGTGGTGGAGAATGTTGCCTTTTCCTACTGTTGGAAAAAGATTCAGCTGCTAGGGCGGTCAGCTTTTGCACATAGAATGGGACAGGATGCCAATTTGCCCGTCATGTCAGTTAGCAAAATGTCTTGGGCTGATCCTGATCAACCCTGCCAAAAATCTTTCTTGGCTGCTAATAATGGATCCTTGGTTTCGGTCAGTATTCAAGATGACCTTGACTATAGGGAGCCAGTCCCAAAGTACCCCCTGCCCAAGGAAGGCATCCACTGTATGCAGGACAGAGCCAAAATATGGTTTTGGCAGATTCATATACTGTACAGGTGACAGTGCATTTAAGCACTCTACAGTGATGTAAAAATAAGGGAAGGTCCTTGGACCAGGATGGTCTTCCCATAGGATGGGCCAGGCTAGTCTCAGTCTAGTTATTCCTGGGAAGCCCTAGATATGCAGGCTGGTGGAAGAAGTCAGAATGTGCTTCTCTTCCACTCTCCAAGCCTAAAACAGCTTCTTTCTTTCACTGCCTGCTTTGCAGAATTTTGTTCAGTCTCTTTTGATGTGGTTCTTGTTGTTGATGTTATAACCATCCTTTCCCTGTGGATGATGTAAAATGGTGGCCAGACTTTCCACAGTGTTGCTGCATTTATCACTTGCAGCAACAGCACCAAAAATCATTGTAAAAGAGAGAAGCTATCCTACTGCCACAATTAATGGTTAGCCCCAGCTCCAAGAATATATTGAAGAATTTCTCTGCCTGCCCTCCAATTAAATAGTCACCCCACTCCATTTCTCTGATGAGGAGTTCCAGTAGACAATTTGCACACATCTCTAAGCTAAGCTAAGCTACTTCCTCAGATATTCCCTGTCTTGAGAATTAACTTTGACTATGAACCTCCAAGCAGGATTAGTCTGATTTTGCACTCCACCCCACCCCACCCCACCCCGCCCCACCCCACCCCGCCCCTTTCACGGAATCCCATTGCAGGTGTTATCTGCTGCTACAAATATTGGCCCTGCTGCGCAAGGCACCCATAGCTTTTGTTAGAGAAAGTGATGATTAATGGCTTGATGTGGGTGGTTGAAGGCTCGTGATTAGGAGCTGATGGATGGGAAATGGACACAGATCATCTCTGGAATGTGAAAGCCATTTCATGAAGGTGGTTAATTATATTCCTCCCCCATCACCCACACCTCCACTCGTCCTACCTAAGGTCTATGTGTGGAAAAAACTGTCAGTTAGATGGGAAAGATACAGAGAGCACTTTGTAGTGAATGGCATGGGAAGGGGTTTGGTGTCCTAGTTTACAAAGGATAGTCCTCTGTTTTAAAGCTGCTCTTGACTTGATGGGCTATCCAGCCAGCCTATGCCCTACGGGGAGATAGAGTGCACTATCATTTAATCACGGCAATTATTTCTAAATGTTTGTATATGCATGTAAATTTGCATGTGCAAGTTTTTATGCAAATCATTGTCTCGTTTTGTCGTTTTCTTTGGTAATGCAATTCTTCTTTCCTGACAACGTATAACTAGCCACTCTGTTGGAGTTACACAGTTACCTTTCTCTGGGGATCTGATGTAGATTAGCAGGGCTGCTGCCTTTGAGAAGTACTTGTGCTGCGTGCCTCCACCGGTGTTCCTCTCGCATGTGTGTAAAGAAGCCAAATATTACAAAAAAGCTAGGAACCTGGGACTTCTCACCGCAGCTCAGGGAAATGGAGAGTGCCTACTCGTAACAAAAGCCTGAAAAGCCGCTGCAATGCTACTCCAGACTACTCTGTTACATCCACCCAGACACATACTCTCTTTTGTCTTCAGTTTCTGGCCAAGAAGCAGCTGTTCTTTTCCTTTCCTTTCCTTTCCTTTCCTTTCCTTTCCTTTCCTTTCCTTTCCTTTTTTCTTTTTTTTTTTTTTGGAATGATATGCTCTTGGACAGAGAAAATGGCACCAGAGCCTGCAGGATGTTTCACCTCTCCACCTACAATGAAGCCCTTGTGCCTAGCCTGCTACAGGCCCTCCAACCTGGCCCCCCTCTCCATGACATCAATAAGCACATTTCCTGCAGGGGCACCGAGCAAGCCTCTCCATCACTGTGTGCCGATGATTTGTTTTTATGGAGTAGAAGGAGCCGTGGTTTCCGCACTTTCTGATATGTTCCCTCCACCCACCAGCCCTTCTTCAGAAATGGAAAGAGATTGCTCAGAATCAAGGGAGGGATAGCTTGGCAGAGCTTAAGCTAAAGCTTATTTGTTCCTCCCAAAGCCAGTTGATGATTTCTGCGTAATGCTACAGAGAGAGAATATGTACTCAGTTCCATGAAAAATATCTTTTTTACAAAATTAGAAAATGGTTTTGAAATGGTGAGCCATCACTGAAAAGTGGAAGGGACAGTATGGAATTCTTTCCCCTTTTTAAAAGGGCCACAGACACCTTCATTCACATGATTTAATCCATAAGTGATCAGCATTTTTGAACTGAGGGACAAAGTACAGACGATATTCATTTGCTCAAAGAAAATCTCCAAGCAGTTGCACAACTGCAGCAGTTGCACAAGAGACTGGAGGGATGGGGAGTGTGGTTCCAGTGATGTCATGCAAATTAGCCAATAAGCACTCACAACCACTGCACACACCTCACTGGAATCTGCCTTCATCTTCATTCTGAGAAGAGGAATCGGATTTTTCCAGGTACAGCTTTACATGCACTGAAGATCTGCAAAAACCTGTTTGCTTTGAACAGATAGCATAGCAAAAATGATACTGAGGACAAGAATGGCTATGCCACAACCACCATTTTCCCCACATCTTTGGAAATGTTAACATCTGTACTCAGCCTGCATCTGAGTGAAATGGAAGCAAAAATAGGAACGTGCTACTTTTGCTTGGATTTGGTGCTTTGTAGTCAGCAATGGTGAGTTCCTCTGAAACCCGATAAACTTGAGGTGGAAAGAAAAAGCCCTATGCTTTGCTTGCACCACCCTAGAGTCAAGTTAAAGAAAGGAAGTCAGTTCCTATCAGAGACAGAGAAAGAGAAGGTGCAAGTGAATGAGAAATGAAAGAATTTGGGACTGAAATACATTCTTCTCTGACTAGCTTTACTTATTACACTTGTGGATTATACTTCATGTGACTTGTGATTCCTTCCAATGTGATAAACATAGGAGATGGAAAGATATATGTATGTCAATTTAATCACCATTTAGATCTCATTGTCATATGAGGGTGGGTTTTCACCTCGCTGTGCTTAGAGGGAGGATGATGACATATGAGGCTGGTGTGTGTGTGGGGGGGGGGGGGGGGCAAGAGTCATATGTAATCATGCATTTATTTGAAAGTCACTAAAAGCCTGAAAATTAAAGTTACATGTACTGTGTTTTCTTTGATTCAATGAGCTTAGTTAAATGAAGGATACTATGGAAATGTGAAAACTGACACACAGAATCTGAGCTTTTCCAATATGTAACCAGGGAATTTATTCTTCAAAAATCCCTATACAAACAAACCTTATCCTCCTCTCATGGAATAATATACAGTTAAAAATGTGGCTGTTCATTTTTTCTCCTCTCCAAATTTTCTGATGTAGAAAATACCAAAATGTGTATTGAAAAGTTTGTTTTAAGATACAATAGACATAGAACAGTGTACTTTGAGACACAATATTTAAAGTGTGTCTTTTGTAAGAAACAGTGAAAATTATTAATTTGAGAATGGATTTTCCTGCAAATATGGTTTTTAAATTGCATTCCTGCAGAAGTGGGATAGAACACATGCAAAACTGAAACAGACCAAGAAGAGATTGATTCAGCCGTATTTGTTTCTTTGGGATTAAAATCAGGCAGTTAGGAGCAGTGATGTTTGAAAGTTCCAATAAATTCTGTTCACAAGCAGTTGATGTCTAGCTGTGATTTGCCACAATAAGTGGCAGCATTAAACATTTGAAAGGGCATCCAGATTGCCTGTTCAAGTTTCGTGCTAGTGTTTTGTGATCAAAAATACTGAGCAGGATATGAGCGGACAATGCTTGAGCTAAGAAAGTGTGAAAGAGGGATGCATGAACTTATTTTACTTTGTATAACATCTGTATTTTTTTCAAGCACAAGTACATTCCACCTCAGTACCATTTCCATACTGTTTTGTAAACATATTTGCAAAAACTATTTTGCATTTTGTACATATAAACACATACATTTGTGTACATAATTTCTCCTATTACATACATTTTTGCAAGCACTTCCCTCAACATATGTCATTCTGTACAGAACTTCCTGCACCATACGCATTTTTGGATACCTCTTTATCAGAGAACAACATAATGAAATTCAGAGAAGTACAAAAACCAAAGGACAATTACATCCCAGTTCATATATTAGTTTAAGAATGCAAATTAGCACAGTTTATGTTAAATGTAAGCCAAATTAATTACACTGCCATCTCTAGAGAAAAAGATGTGTTGTGTGTCCTTTGTACCGTATTAGACGTACATAATGAGAATAAGTGTGTTGTGCTGGCATGTGTTAATTTAAATGAATGATGTTTGCATATGTCTGATGAAACCTTTGTCCCTCTGAAGTGAATATCGCATGGATGCATGTGTGTTGAAAATTTAGACAGATGGGCATGTCTGTAAGAATTGTATACTATGGTGGGTTGCTGACATTTGTGTCTTTCCAAATAAACACTCAACCAACAAACACTTCTTGACAAATGCTGCACTTAATGGTAAATAGAAACTAGTTGTTTCCCACATGGGAATGACTGTGGAACAAGAACATAGTAGATTCCAGAAGTATCCTCCACACTGCTGAATGCCATCTTTCTCCAATTATGCAGGAAGCTTTTGTGTACCTAACACAGTCCAACAATGGATGTGTAGCATCAGAACGCTGCATAGTTTGGATGTACATGAGTTGTGAGTTTCTGCACATGAGTTTCTTCAGCCCTTGAAAGAAAATCAGTTTTGTGTGCCACTGTATGTAGAACAATTGCAGAAAAATGGAGATGCATTTGGACAGGATAGCCACTGTTAGTATTTGAACAGTCAGTGTTTTGAATAGATGCACACTGATGGTGTGTCATTAATAATTATGATTCTGGGCAACTACTGAAAGGCTTCTATCAGTAATCAGCAGCTACTTAGCAATGGTGATAAATAGAAGTAGCAGAACTGGACCAGCCAACCATCTAACATTTGTGGCAAAGCAGAAAATAAGTTTTAAAAAATCAGCAAATTTTCAAATTGGGATTTTGTATGCAGAATTAAAACTAGATCTCTAATTTTGAAATTTGTCTTCCATGAGAAAGTGAATCAAATTTAATTAATATGAGTTGGAAATTAGAATGTTTGGGGCACATGGGACCCACTCTGGTAAAGAGCTTAGAGTGCCAGACTGAGATTTGGGGGCTCTGGGTTCCAGTCCCCAATCAGCCATAAAGCTCACTTTGAAGTCACTGATTTTCAGCCTAATTTACTGCACATCATTAAGATAAAATGAAGCAGGAAAAAAAAGATCATGTAAGCCACCTTGGGATTCTTGGAGGAGGAAATCAGGATATAAATGTATCAAATAAATAAATTGGCAATTTGCATAGATATGTGCTCATTAGAAAAAATCTTGGTTTTATGGCACCTGAAAGATGTGTTCGTACTTGCATAGTGGCTGGGAAAACTGTATGCATGTGTGTGCTGACAAGATGAAGAGAGATTTCGAGGAAAGGAAATTGAGTCCTGTGTTGAAAGTTTTGAGTTAAACATAAGGTTAATTAATGCTTTTTGCTGGAAGCTATTGGAAGCATTTATACATATTGACGCAGACCTAGAAATGTGCATGCTGTAAAAGTTGTATGTGCGACTCCTTCCCAAACATTGTGAAAATCCACATCCTGTTAGAGCTTAATAGGTTACAAAACAGTGTAAATCAAACTAGTAATCTCTTGAGATGTGGGAGGAGTAACTGCTCATGTGAGGAGCGGAAATCTCCCTTCTCTCCCTCCCTTTCAGAAAAGATTCTGACTCCAATTCAAGATGCCTCCTGCTAATCAGTGTGAATGTTGAACCCTTCTTAATTGGTCCGCTCGCTTTGCCTGCCATCTCCTTACAAGGTTAAGCAGCATCTCCTCAATCCCTTTCCTACCCAGTTCTGCAGAGTCTCGCTCCTTTCCAGGGCAGACCTGTTCTCATACTCTGCCTGAGTATCTTCTGCCATGAAACTGCAGTCAGCTGCCCCCTCTGCCTCCTCCTCCTCCAAACTGGATGAGCCGATCTGAGCAGACGGTAATGTGTAAGAGCTGCCCCCCGCGCCCCACAAAAAAACCATTGGTTGCCCTGAGAGGGAAAAACAGTCCAGTGCCGCATGGGTAATTAATGTATGACCTCTACCATGCGGCAGATAGCAACTTTGGAAACAGTACAGGGGAAAGAGCTGAACTCCCTCAGAGTCTCTGTTCTAATCTACCAGCACCATCTAACATAGTGGCTGCGTTTACATTTTGCTAAAATTACAGGAGACTCTGTTGATGGATTGTCCACACCATGTCCAGTTTGACCCAAAGAGACTTCCTCTTGTCAGCACTGCTGAAACACACCCAGAGTCCCTCTTAACAGCTTCATCCCCATGCCATTTTCAAACAGTAAACACAGGGCAAGCTTTCTGTGACTTCCCTACAACTGCAAAATGCTTTTTCCACCAAGTGCTGGCATTACTGGAGTATCTTGTTTTAGCTGGATGGATAGAATGTTTGGGAATCATTATATGCCCATCACTGAGGCAGTGCATTCCACATTTCTAACAGATGCATCTTAAAATCTTCTTTCATGGCCAACTTGTTCTTAAAGTCAGGATCAGCCTGCAGTGAATATTCATGAATGACTGTCTAGTACACACAGCAGCTTTCAGGAACCAAAAACACTCCCATAGCGTACCTTTCTCGCATCTTTTTGCCACTCTTTGTAGACAGCAGTCAGCTTTTTTTCCACTGGGCTTCCTCCTACCCTGAGTCACCTAATGCCTCTGGGCGTAGATGCTGCCCGCAGGTTGTGAACTCCTAAGAAAAAGGCACAGCCCAACCCAAAGCCAGAGCCACATCTTGGCCAGCAGGATGTTTGTTTCGCACCCCTGATATTTTGTACAAGGCATCTATATCCTGCCATTCTTCCTCTTGCAAGGAACTCAAGGCAGCTTACAAGATTCTCCATGATGTGAACCCATTGTGGATTTGTTAGGAATACAATTGCTCATCAAGGAATTCAGGCTTCTGAAGGCTATTCATTGGGTGGAAAGAGAGCAATACACAAGAGGAAGTTTGACTTTTTGGAACGCCATGATGCAACAGGGTAATCAAAGGATAGATCTACTCTACAAATTCAAAGTGGTTTTAACTACCATGGCCTTTCCCAAAGGAACTCTGGGAAATGTAGTTCTGAGGAAAAGCTAAAGGTCTCTGACACATACTAGTAGTTGTCCTACCATGGTTAAGTTGCAACAAAATCATTATTTTGCCAAGCAGCCAAAAACTTAAAGCCAACCCTGAAAGCAGATGCAAAGTGTTACCAAGTAGCCCCTCCCACCCACCCCTGCCCCATTCCCAATCATCATGTTTACCACAGTGGAAAACAAGCAGTAAAACAAAATTCACTATTCCAAGCTATGACAAAAATGCTCTCAGTATTGAGAGATGTCTTTGGTGAGAAATTTCTCCTCAATCAGGTTGGAAATGACCTGCTGGATGGAAAGAAAAGTTTTAAAAGAAGTCTCATAGTACTACAGTCTCTCTGGGTTTTGCTAGAGTGACGCAGGGGGAAATCAGGAGGTTTGTCTTGCACAGACTAAGAAAGGGCTCCTGTACATTTAGAAGCCACACAAAAGGTAACATTTTGCTTTCCATGGTAACACTAAAAACAATTTCCTTAAGCTATAACAAACATCCCATCATCTGGAACCAGTAATCCTAAGAAATGGTGCATCTATCTACGTGTATGGCCATTATTGGGAATCATGGGTTCCACTTCTGGGACCTCTGAATGCCAGCAGTGCTGTCCTGGATCAGACTAATAGTCACTCAGTTCACATGTGTGGCCAACCAGCTGTCCATGGGAAACCTACTTTTTATGGGCATTGGCTCTGTATTAGAGCAGGCTTTCTCAAGCTGTCGCCCTCTGCATGTGTCAGATTATAACAGGGGTGGCTAGAAACAGAACTGGGTTTTGCAAAGGCATGAATGGTACAATGAAATACGGAATATGGTAATGAATGATAAACTGACAAAAGAAATAAACATTAAAAAGGGTTAATGAAAGCAAATAAATATAATGAAATTTGGGAAGATGTTGTAAAAGCAGTACTGATACAAGGCAAAGGCTGTAAACCTAAGCAAGGTTATATGAATTTCTGGAGGGGATATGGATATAATTGAAGTATACTATATACTATTAATTGTTATAATATGTGAATTAAGTGGTGGTAGTATTGGTCCCTGGGGTGGTGGGGGCACTTTATTATTTACTCTTTAATCATTGTGTTTTTGTTATGTTATATTATTATTGCTGTGATATGTTGTATTTATTTTTTTCTGTTTAAAAAAAAATAAAAAAGGGGGGAATATAACAGGGGTGGCCAAACTGAGGATTGCAAGCCACATTCAGCGCTTTGACTTTATTTTGCAGTTTGCCACCACCACAGGGACACCTGCTTGCAGCTCTCTTACATTACCTCTGTGTGGCTCTTCTGCTGAGCAAATCTGACCACCCCTGGACTATAACTTCCATTACTCCCAAGAAACGTGGTGGCTGGAGGACACAGCAGTTGTGATCCAACACAACTGGAGGGCACCAGGTTGAGGACGGGCTGTACCAGATCAGTCCCTGAACCCAACACTTTTAGACTAGGATCTGCTTAGACTGGGCTGGAACACCTTCACGAGTTCTACAATTGGGTCATATCCTTTCTGTTTCCCATCACTGGTTATCAGCTCATGTCTGGGCTCAATGGAAAGTGCCAGTACAAGCCCCTGCGATCTTGAATGGATTTAGAGCCAGGTGAGTTAAAGGACAGGTAGATTCAAATAGACTTCTCATGTGGACCTCCTCCGCTGAGAACTCCGCCTGGCTGTTTCTATGCTGCCAAACCTTTTTGTGATTTTATTGCTGCTCCACATAGATATAATTTTATTCGATGCATTTTTATTCCATTGTTGCATTGCTTTTGAAATTTTTACTTTAAACTGTTTTATAATGGCTCACCCTAAAAGCCAGGATAAAAATAAATATATATTTTTTAAAAATGTGTACATCCTGCATCTGATTAGTAATATCTGGATTTAATTTGATTTTATGAGCTTATGGTACAGCAAGGTGGATTTGGGTTGAATGTTAAGAGAAACATCTTGATCACAAGAGCAGTGCCATAACGTATCAGAGTAACTAGGGAAGAGGTGGATTTTCCCTCAGTGCAGGGCTTCAAGTGGCAGCTGGATCTGTTGAGGTTAGCAAGGGCTGGATGTCCTGCACTGAGTACAGGGAGGGGCACTAAAAGGTCCCGAAGGCCCCCTTCCTGTTCTACGATTTGACATTTATGCCATGGTAGCAGCACCAACCTGGTACAATGTTCACTGCTGAGCCTGGATCAGAGGCACCTGGGCACTGTCGAGGCGGCCAGTTTGCATGGGATTGGTCCTCTCACCAGTGCGGATGTTGAACATGGGCAGGGTGGAGAGTGGGCGGGGCACCTCCCGGGTCCTGGCCATCTCCCTCAGTTCCTCAGTGTTGTCATGGATGGTGTGATGATGCACCATCTGGATGCTGCAGGAAAAGCAGAGACACAAGGACAGGTGTTGAGAGGAGAGAGGGAGGAAGACGTGAGCTAGCGTGTGCTGCCTGCCTGCCTGCCTGCCTTCCTGCCTTCCTTTGCTGGATTTTTGCCCCACTTGGCCCTGTCGGTTCTTCTAGGGTCATCATAACTGTGATTCATATATAGGAGGGGCCTATATAACTGTGATCCATATATAGGAGGGGCCAAGATAAGGTCAGGGCTGTCTGTGAAAGAGGGAGCAGAGCTTCTCATGTAGGTGGACTCCTTGTTCAGCCCCTAGGAAAAGCATTAGGACGGGAAGCCCAACCAGCCTGATAGAGGCTGCTCACCCCTGTCGTGCTGTTGCATCCACACATGCCCTTGGTGCAGAAGAATTTTAAGGAGACACCAGGCGGCCGCAGTGGCTCCAGGAATACAGTTCCTTTGGCGAGACAGGTCCCCTGGCCTCTTCTACCTTCCTCTGTGCTTGCTTCTTTCAGAAAGCAGAAGGAGACACACCCGGTGGCTTGATACTGTGGCATCTGCTTCCATGTGGGATCATTCAAGCTGGCCTACAACTCCCATAACCTCCAGTCACCCCTAAGGATGACGGGAATAATAGTTCCACCCATGATCTTATGTGGAAGGAGATGCTGTGGCTTTGGGATATTGGATGTCTCTCCTTTTAAGAAGGAAGTGCAGGAACAAGGGGGAGGCCTTTCCGATCCCTGGCATCATGGCAGCGGAGCAAGAGTCTGCCTGTTCCCTAAGGTTTTCCTCCCACATTGCATGACCTTTTGTCTCAGGATCTTCTTATTATGTGATGAAATGACCACTTATATAGTGGGGAGAGAGTCGGAAGGACACTGGCCGTGAAGCCAGTCACTGACTCACTGAGCCTAATCAACTCACAGGGCTGTTGTGGGAATAAAATGGAGAATATGAAGCTCATGCATGCTTTAGAGGAAAGCCTGGATATAATAAATATATAATGCTTTCATAAAGCCTTGCTTTCTTAGGTGGATCTGTAACATTTCACTTCTTTTCAGGCTGACATAACTGAGTGTGATCAAACCATCCCATTCATGCACATAAACCAACCCACTGCTCCCCCCGCCCCACACACACACACAGAGAAAGAAAGACAGAGAGAATGAGACAGAGTTCCTCTTCAGGCATGTATATAAATACTAAGCATGGTTGTAACTTTGCCTTGGAAGTGCCACTGGTAATTTAATCAATGAATTGGTTTAAAGTTATAAAAATAAAATGGGTGGACAACCCATCAACCCACTACATAGGCCCAGCAGAGGTGTGATGGGAAACCTCAGGCAATATTCTCATGACATCACAGAGCATGATGTCACAGAGCACCCACCTGCATTCCCATGGCAACCTGCTAGGCCTAAATACTCTAAATGTGTCTGTGAGATGGATAGGTTTTACTTGCCTTGCCGCTGAGCACCACCAGCTTGAGATCCTCTACAAGACTCCAAGACACAATCTCTATTGTCAGGAGAGGTTAAAAAATACTAGATGTGTGTGCCAGAATTAGAAGAAGGACATTCAAGAGAACGCATCCATTTATTTAGGACCCCCTAGTATTAAGGCAAGAACTGGACGAGTAAATGAACAAAGGAAGCTGTGAATGTGACAAGAACTTGGGAGTCGTATAAACCTCCAGATGTGCATACTTTAAACGAGAAACTTGGCAGACAAGTGTGGACAATACAGACCAATAGTGGGAGGGAAAGGGGCAACTTTCCCTGCTGACTTTATTTCAATCTGGTAAGGAAGATAGTGAGACATTCTGCCTTCCAAAAAGGATAGTAGGGCAATTCCAATCTGCCTGAATTACTCACCTGATACAACAGGAGCAAAGGAACTGAACAGAACAGAAGGCCCTCCTGGAGCAATAAGATGGAGCCAAACAGATCTCCAGAAGTTCCTTTGTTAGGTGTACCTGACTCGGGCTCAAACAACAGAGCCTCACTTCCACTGCCAGAAGACATTGAACGGCCTGATGATTCCCAGAATGCTCAGTCGACAGATTCTTCTGAGCCTCTACTGGATCCTTCATTGCAAAGAGGCAGAAGTCATCTTGGGGCTTCGGATCAGACCCAGAGAGCTGCCAGACAGTTTAATCAGTCAAGAACTATTGTGCCCAAACCACCAACCACCAACCTTTCCTTGCTGATCTTCACAGCTGTAGCCACATGCCAGAAGAAGTCAGGCCTCTCCATGCAAGCTCTCAAGAAAATTGTGACAAACATGGGCTATGACATGGCCAAGAAGAAGCACTATTTCCTGAGGTCCATCAAGAGCATGGTGGCCAAAGGGCAGCTTTGGCAAGTGAAAGGGACTGGTGCAACAGGCTCCTTCAAGGTCAACCCTGACCTTGGGAAGAAAAAGCATCAGCCAAAGGTGAGGGGACGAGGGAGGAAGGCAAAGGATCCCACCAAGAAAAAAAGCAACCTGGCTACGCCTAGGAATGGCAGGAGCAAAAACAAGAGGCAAGGAAAGGCAGAGTCCTCTAAGAGAGCCCCCAAGAGAAGCAGGATGCCGACTATCCAAGCTGCCCAGAACCAGGTCAAAGTGTGAAGGATGCCTGCCTTGCACTCCAGAGTGACTTCTGCATCCTTGTGACTAATAAAGCAACCCCTGTATTTAAACTTCACTGGTACCTATACTAATTTTTTTAATAAGGAAGCAGAATATAGTTGTGGGAGGAGGTGATAGAACTTCAGGTATGTGATGAACGTTGGACATGTACATGGTAGGCCATGTCATGAATGGAGCCAGCTAGAGCTGGGGGTCAGACTAGATGGCCTGGGAGGCCCCTTCTGATGCACTCTGTTTCTATGTTTCTATGAAGAGATGGATGACTCTTCCTATTACATATATAAAATTTTATAGTTAATACAGTGTTTGGTATTATAAACAAATGACATTCATACAAAAAATCTAAGAGTTCCTTAAAATATCTTTCAAAACACATAGTTAATACCATGTTGAACAGAAGAGACAAAAATAATAAAGCATTGATTCAAAAATGGAGGAGTGGAGGAAGGGGAAAGAAGGTTTTAACAAATTCTAATAAAGGAAATGTCTTGTATTCACTCATATCTAAGCTGCATCTTGCCTCCATGAAGTCAGCCAAAGAGGGCCAGAGATGAGATAACTAGGTAGGCTTCTTAATGGACATACCTGGTTAATCACCTCCATGGCCTTCCAGACTTTACACAACCATTCTTCAGAAGTGACATAACATTAGTCCCCCCATATCTAGCAACCAAATCCGTAACAGCAATCCATAGTTATCAAATCATTTCCTTATGTACAGCAGCCTTCCCCACCATGAGGCACTCCAGGCTGTGCTGGACCTCAACTGCCAGCATCCCCCAGCCAGCTATGTTGGAAAGTGTAGTCCTACACACCTGCAGCACCCCAGGCTGAGAAACGTAAGAACCACCATGCTGTCTCAGACCAAGGATCTCTCTTCTCCAGCATTCTGTCCTCACACAGTGCCCTACTGGATGTGGCCCACAAGAGGGATAGGAATACAACTGCACCTTCCCATCCAGGCTCCCTGGCAGCTGGTGTACATGGGCAATGCAAAATGTATCCATCTCCATCATGTGTTGCAGCCACCCCCAGCCTGGTGCTTGAGCCAGCCTCTGAATTGCTTAGCTTTGATATGGTGGACGCCTTCAGACCATACTCTGGACCATGATAAAACATTGAATAACCCATACCTGCAGCCCCACCTAGACAACCCTTTCATGACATCTCAAATCAGCTGCCTGAGGAAGGGCTGGCCCAGTGCACCGTACCCAGGGGAAGCTACCAGCTGTCTGGATAGATGAAGAAGATAGCAGAGTTATCCTAGCCTCCTTCCTTCACCCCAAAACAAGGTGAGGTGGGGACAGAATCTTCGGAAACATACTCTCTTAACCTTGGAGCTTTTAGCAAGGAGAGGACATCACTCTTCCCCGTACTGTTCCCATCAGCAATGGCTAAACATGCTTTATTTCCACTCCAGCACATAATAATTCTATGTGGATGCACAATTCATTATGCCATCATAGTTCCTGCGGTTGTAAGAATGGGTGTTTATGCCTCACCATATTTTCCCGCAACAAGAGGCCTCTTTTTGCCACCCTTTAAATGAGCTCTAGCTGGAGAGAGAAACAGACAGACATAATACACAGGTGGTTTGCGTCTTCTAGACGCATTGCACCTTGATAAAAGATTGAGGCAAGCGTACATTGTACATTGCTGCTAAGAAGTTTCATATTTTTTCTGATTGGACATTACTCCTTTAGCACCAAATGACAGGCACAAAAGTTAGACAGTTGAAATACGGCACTTTATTTTATTTTTCTTACACGCAGCTTCAGCTATGGAAATCTCATGTCATTGACATAGGACCACACAAGTCAGATGGGTCAGATTTCCTGGGCTTTGTCTTCTTTCTCCTTGACCTTCTCTTCCTCTTCCTTCTCTTGGAGTCCCTCTTTTTTTTGAGGGCAAACATTGCCTTTCTCTTTCTCCTTCTCCTCCTCCTCCTCCTCCTTTTCCTCCTCCTCCTCCTCAGCACCTTCATCATCATCTTGCTGATGGCATAGGAGCCAGTCAGTCCACGGCCAGTCAACTTTCTCAACAAACCCTTGGCAACCAAGGCCCTCAGGACCCTCTTGAAGTAATTTTTCCGCTTCTCAAGGTCATAGCCCAAGGCTGCAACACTCTTCTTAATTGCTTGCAGGGATATACCGGTGCGTTTCTCAGTGGAAGCCACCACTTGGAAAATGAGCTTGGAGACGCCACGTCTGGGCAAAAGATTTTTCCAAGGGAAAGAAGGTTTATGGGCCTCTCTGCCTTTTGACTTAGACCTCAATGTGGACTTTACATTCAGACCAGAACAAGATGGCTGAGGTTCACCCACAACCCCATTTTCTTGCAGGGTTGGGGCAAAGTAGCCGACAGATATCGGTGTGGGATTCCTCGCATCAGAACATTCTGCATTATTCAGTGAGAAAGCCACTGAGCTTTCACTCATGGTACCCATTTTTCCTCAGACTTGGCTTGGCTGCTCCTTCTTCACCATGTCCCAGTTTCTAGAAGCTTGATGGGTTGGCACCTGTTTCTCTGTTAGTGGGTGCAGCGTTCTGAGCTTGAGGGCCTTTTCATCTGATGGGTCTTCCAGGAGTCCGTAGGTGGCCTGCCCCACACAGCAGAGAAGGTGTTGGATGGGATTACTGTGCAAGGCAGTTATGATTAGACGAGCCCACTTTGCCAGAGGTTATGAGGTTAGAGTGGGAGGGGCTTGAATTAAATAGTTGTCATGAGAACAGCTTGGTGAATTGTGGGATCACAAGAACTCTGTGATGCCTCTGTGCACGTGTGCCACATGGGCTTGATGTGATTGCCTTGTTTGGTGGCCTAGTCATGGGATGGAGGACAGGCATTAGAGGATGACTAAAAGAGTTTGACCAACAAACGCAACCTTCTATTCAATACCTGTGACACATACCAGTATCTAACTCTATGGCAATCTGCCCCAAACAGGGTACCCTACAGATGTGATGGACTACAAGTCCCATCATTCCCAACCAACAATGGCCCTGCTTTCTGGGGATGATGAGAGCTGTAGAAAACAACTGAAGGGCAACAGGTTGGGAAGCACTGCTGCATCCACATTTAGAATGAAGTATGCTTTTAAAAGGCCATGACATGATGTACAAAAAGAAAACGGAAACACAGTGTGGGATTGAAATGGGGAAAGAGAATTCAAAACACAGAAAAAGTGCAAGCTTCCGAGCTCTCCAGAAGTCTTTGTCAGGCAGGAAGCTGCAGAAAGCAGTTGGTGGGAAGAGGGATAAGCAGAAAGGTCTGCCTGAACTTTGTAGTCAGGATGCTGCCCTCACTGACCTGATGTTTGGAGCATCTTGCTTGAGAATGCGATCGGGAGCCTGCACTTTTGTGAGCATGTGTGTGTGACTTTTGAGTTGCCATAGTAAAGTCATGGCACCCTTTGGATTTTTTTTTCTTAGCACCAACATGTCTGTCTTTGGTTTTCATAAATACAAACCTGTCTGGGACAGGGTAAAAGACAACTGTATATTTTCCCCAAACCATTCAGAAATACGGTTTCTGAATTCACACAGAAACACAGCACATTTGCAGGTGGAAAACAACTTACTCTGACGTCTTCATGTCTCTTCGATGCCTGCAAACAAGAGAGAACAACTGAGGTGAGGTCCTGTTTGCATCACAAACATTCTCAATAGCGCAGTTAGAGCAAAATCAACACAAGTGCCACACTCTCCATCTGACCATATTCACCTAGGCTGGTCCGTATTTTCTGGCCCTTGGCAGTACATCCCTATTTTTCTCTCATCATTGTCAAGGGCAGCACTACAGTACATTGAGCTGAACTGAAAAGATGGGCACAAAGTGACTTCACCCACGAGCACCGTTTGAGGAATTTCCATTACCAAGAAAACATGGTTGTTGTAGAATTTCATACAACTCTGTTAATATTTGCAAACCCTAAGTGTAGAAGATGATAATTAATGCGTAGCATCACTCTCCTGTGCCATCTGGACTTCCAGGGCGGGTGGAGTGTGGGTATTGAGGGGGCCACATCGATACTAATAGCTACTTCAGTTTAATAGATCCTTAACACTCTTTCATTCCTATTCTTGATCGGGATTTTCTTCAGACATTGGCTCACACTTCAGCTCACTCACTCATGGACAAAATGCCTGTGACTTAACTCTTCGGAGCGACATGTACGTGCAGGCTGGTGGCAGGATCCAGACTATACCTGTCATCCTTTCTGCACTCAGCAGTTACATGAAAGTGATTTTTTTCCAAAACAGTCAATAGCACAGTTGCAGGCTCCATTGGTCTGGATCGGGGCCCCAGCAGGGTTTTATTGGGGCTTGGGCCCTTTGTTCCGGCCGTGGCCACGATCTGGACTGGGGGGCCAGGCCTCTTCTTCACATTAAAAGGAAACCTTCCACTGGCACAAGTGAACCCTTTCCCTCCAAGGCAAATAGTGGGAACCAAAGAGTTAAATCCCCCAACTCTCCTTCCCTCTCCCTCCCTCTCTCCCTCTCTCATACATCCACACACACAAGTACACACACATAGTAAACACACAAAGATCCTGAAGTCTCAAATTAGCTATTTGCTTGGGGGTAAAAACACATCCACACATTACTAATTGTGAGAATCATGTGGCATCTGGTTTGGTCCTAAACTGCAGCTCTTACTGGGGAAATATTCCCAAGCAGAGCTTTGATTCGTACATCTCAGATTGACTGTGCTATGTATTTGGGCTGGCAGAAGCTGCAATTTAGACACAAATGTGACATTCAAAACAAGTAACAAGCATGTTTTTTCTTTAGCTATTATACAGCACTGAGAGTATGGATACACAGAACCTTTAGCAAAATTCATAAGCAAAAAAAAAAGTTTAAGGCAAGAGTTACAGATTTACGAGGCAGGAAAGGTAGCATCAGTTGAGAGAACGGACCTTACTTAGCACCACTGAAGCTGGTGCAGTTGCAAAAAGTCATTGGCCAGGACATTTTGGGAGATAAAGGAAGAAAAGTAGTCTGAGCCAAATCCACAGACAGCTTTGCATGTAAAGTGTTTGTGTGTGAGGAGCAAGTTCTCATGCACACACATAAATGCATGAGGTGGCTGAGGAAGAGAAATTAATGTGAAGAGGGAGCCAGAAGAGAGATCCCTCTTTATACAGGAGTATGCAATTCAAATTTGTGTAACTTATGTTCATGTGACCCAGCCTTTCCCCAAGATGGCATCTTCTACATACTGTAGACTAAAATTCCCAGCATTCCCCAGAAAGTCCTGCTAGCTGAGGAATTCTGGGAGTTTTAGTCTAACATATGGGGGTGGGGGGCAGACCAGCTTGGGAAAAGATGATGTGACCATATTTAGCAGTATTTATTAATTGGGGAGATGTATATGTATATGAGGCTTCTTTGTGGCTCCCACATGAATCATTACAAATAGGGGATAAATTAATTTGATCCACATTTTAATGAAAATTTAAATAATTTTGAACTTTTGTTTCAAACCTAAAATGCACTAATCTTTCTAAACATAACTTCCCTGAATTTTGCATGGAATTCTCCAACAACAAGTACTCTTTATAATTAGAGAAAGTATACATAAAATGCATAAGCTAGTCAAAACAACATTAAAATACACTCACTTAGGGAAAACACTTGCAAAAAGGTATACCTTAGGGAAAACTGTATACAAAAATGCACATATTAAGAGAAATTCATGCACAAATAAGTATGAATGTTCATATGTATTTTATATGGTAAATCTTAACTCTCAGGACAAACTGAACTTAAGATTGGTAAAATAAGAAACTCAGAGCAGCCCAAATTAACAGGTTCTTCCATCCCTATGATATAATGCAACAGAGCCCACGGTCTCCCCAGCCTCCAATCCTTAGATGTACACTCAACTTACACGCCTTCCCGTCTGCAGCACATGATGTAGGCCAGGAGAAGAGAGAGGAGAAGGCCCAAGAGGAAGGGGAGGAGAAACGTAAGCAAGAAGTCATCGAAGAATGCTCTGTCAGGGGCATCATCTGGAGGATCGAATTCGCTGCCCTCTTCAAGCACCCCGTCTCCATAGATGGTCACCATTTCCGTGGCATTCACCTTTGTGAGGTCTATCTGAGGATCGTAAAAAAGGAAGAGATGTGAGGGGAGTGGGCAGCAGCCCAAACATCCCTACCACCACTGCCTGCCTTCTCTCACCAAGGTAAGGTTGCACCAGTCAACCTGGAATCGGGGGCTGAAGCTGTCGTGACAGGTCATGACTGGTTGCTGCTCCAGCTTGCAACGGTAGCGGTTGTCAGGGGACTTGGCCTCCGTTAAGCAGCTGGTGAATGGATCCTTGGAACCCATCGTGATGTAAACCCTGTAGGGAAGCGAGAAGAAGCCCAGCATGCCAAGGGGAAGCAAGATGGTGGAAGAATCATAGTGCTGAAAGGAAACTGAATTCTTGGTTCTTTTTCCAGGACCCTCAAAGACACTCCTAATGGGATGTCTGCTATGGGCTGGCAGGTTAACTTCTCCCTATTCCAGCTTCCGCCCAGCCTTGTGCCTTTCCAAGGGGTTGAGTGGGAGAAGCTGTTGCCTTGTACATCTGGAGGGTGCCAAATGTTCTGTCATAGAATAGTAGAGTTGAAGGGGCTGATTAGGCCTCAGGTCTAACCCCCTGCTCGATGTAGGTTCTAGACACTATCTCTCATCCGAGTCTACCTTGCAGGGTTGCTTGCCTTACCCTGAGTCAGATCCATGGTCCATCAAGCCCATGAACAGACTGGCAGGCAGTGCTAGTCCAGGGTTTCAGACTGGGGCCTTTCCTGGCCTTACCAAAGATACCAACAACTGGAACTGCGATTTTCTATAATCCAAGTATCTTTTCTAACACTGGCCTAGATGCATGCATACATATGGAGGGTGGGGTGGGGGTGGAAGCATGGAAATGTTTTGAGGAAAGTAAAACTTTGCAGTGTACTGCAACATAGGAGGCCTTCACAACAACATAGGAATAGATCCCATTGTGGAGCTATTGTCATTTCCCACTTTTCAAACCTCTGAGTGAATTCCTCCAAGCCCAGTGATGAAGGGATGGCACAGAAAGAACCACATGGTCTAAAGGAATCTTGAGGAGCTCCTGAGTAGACCAGGACTTTGACAGCTATGTTTCCCGAAGGCGGTTTCCACGGTCCCATTGCTTACCCTTCCTTCCTGTTCTCAATTGGCAACGGTACCCGGCCTCCCCGATCCAAGGCTGAGGTGATGTTGACGACACTCAAGACTTCTTGCTCCCACATACTGTCCACGGCATCCTGAAATTGCTCCTGGGCATCCACTGGCAGCATTTCCTCCACATCCCAGTTCTTTACCAAGAAGTCAGCTTGATACGGCATCTGTTTGTCTGCAAGGAGAGGGAGGCATGAAGCGAGGCTGGGAGAGGAAGAGCAGGGAGGAGGCAGGCCTCACGGCTGGCTGTGCGACCTTCAGTGCTGGTTCCTTAGGAAAGCCACCCTGTGCAGCCTCAGTCCCTTAACCCCACGCAAGAGAAAGTGGGGCTGCTTGATACTTCACCAACCCCATCCCTGCACGCCAAACATGTTGCACCATGCAGTGCTTCAGGCTGTATTGAGTGGCTGAGCAGGCAGGTACGAAGGCACAGAGGGCCAAAGCCCCATTCCAAAGCAAGCCCCATAGGAGACCCCACAGCAGGCCTGGGGCTGTTCCTGCGCACACACACCGAAATGCAGGCCCAGCCTGCACATGTACATGTCCCTTCCTGGGAGCAGGGCACACATCCTCTGGAAGACCAGGACGGCAGAGCATCCTCCTTGCTTGCCCATCAATCTCTCCTTTCACCAGCGTGCCAAACAGGGGGCTGGTAGACCAGCTGGAGGACGTTTCTGCTCCTGTACAAGATCTGTGAGGACGCCTCTGTTTGCCCCCCTGGAGTAGGGGGAATTGGAAGAAACTGGGGAGAACACCTGCACAGGCTGCACAGGCAGCTTCCAGCAGCCACGTGGGGCCAGCCCACTAACACTCTGAGACGAGCTTCACCAGCTCTGCTCTTGTGTCTGGCGGACACCCGAGAGCACCACTAGGTTGGTGAGCGAGAGCTACAGAGCCCTCCCAGCAGTGGCCCACACACCTGTGGATCTGTCTTTCGGTGGAAACATAAAGCCTTTTCATTACAGATTTTTAAGGGGGGCCCTAAAGACCCAAGAGCCTTCTCTTAAACAATAATTTATTTGGTATTCCTGTAGTTTCTAATTATTTGCCTGATTTTGCCATTTTTACTGGACTGGATATTGTTTGTTATTCTGTCCCATGTTGCTAATGAACAGCATTCTGTAAGGTTTAAAACTGGTTATTAATCTAATATTATGAATTTATAGGAGTGGAAGCTGCATTGGGAAGATTTGACCCTAAAAGACAGCCTACAAATATTTTTGATAAGTTGCTCATCCCTAACTCCATTTAGTTTAGCAATAAATTAAAATCTGTGTGGTTCCAATATCGATCCATGGGGGAATCATTACCCGCAGCTCATTACCCTTCACCATGAAGACTCTCCATCCACTGCGCTGCTCTGCTTCTCGCTCGGCCATAGGAAGGCCTGCCCTCTTCCACCATGTCTGCTTTTTGACCTTAGGAGCCCTTGGTGAGGGCTGCTGTCAGACGTTCAAGAAAATTATGTACTTGCACACTGGTTGGAACACTCAACAAATCCTGCAAAGTTGTTGGGAATTCGCTAGACAAGATCCTTGCTGCAGGATCCCTCTTGAGGCATGACCAGCATCATGGGGATCTTGTTTGCCCGGGCGCCAGTTAGGATGGGACCCTCCTAAGAACATGCAGATCATAGGGGGGGGGGCAGCCCAATTCTGCAATTCACACTGAAGGCTACCTGTGGTGGGCATTGCGGGAACAGGCCCTGCGGAGAAGCCGCTGAGCGATGGCGAGAGTGGCCGCAGGGGACAGATTTGCATGAAGCGTTCATGTGCTGTCAAATACGGGCAGGTGTGAATTTAGAAATAATGGTTATGATGTAAATGGAAATACAGACAGAGAATGAACTCTATTACCTGTCTTCTGATGCTGCTGCAGGTTCCATAGACCCCAGTGAGGTGCTAGGTGGAAATGGCTGGGCAGTAGCTGCCTTCTCAGTCTTTGAGGTTATCTTCTACTCACCTCATCACTGGCACATCCTTTCCTAGCATCCCAAAAAGCGACTCTCCCTATCACTAATAAAAGCAACTAAGTGGCAAAATCCCTTATAAAATTAATAGAAAGGAGAGAGGGAGAGTAGGGGGGTTTGGTACACAGCATGCCTTTCCTGTGTGAATAATGAAATATTTACCTGGAAACAGGGAAATTTTAATGATCATTGTTTGCCTCACAGTCTCATAGGTGTACCGGTTATATGCCGTTACCTGTCACAGAGATGAGAAAGAGATGTGGAACTCCTATAATTTAATTAATTTATGCTTTTTAAAGTACCCCTATATTCAAGAAGAATATATATATATATATATATATTTCCAAAGAGTAAAGCAACCCTTTCCAGTCTAAACCAAATGGCAATCATAATTAAAGCTGGATTTACAGACTGAGAGCAAAAACTTTAGGAGGTTCTAAATATTTTGAAGATGGACCTTCAGGTGTAGCACTAGGATATTTGACCACACAACCAATCCAGACAGAAGCACAAAGTCCCAGGTTTTCCAGGCAGTCCAATGGGGACTACAAAATGTATATGTCCACATCACAGAACTCACTCACACGATACAAAATAAAAGTCATAATCGGGCCTATTTGCTGAGTTTAGCCTTAAGGGCAGAAAGAAATCAGAATGATCAGGGATGGGGAACCTGAAGGGAATGGGTCAAATCCAGCCCACTTAGGGTCCCAATCGCTCGTTCCCACCATAGGAACTGGCCCCAAGGGCTCCTCCTAAATCAAATTTGGGCCTGGGGCTGAAAGAGACCCCCCACCTCAGGGTTACAGGACTTTCTCAAGTACAAGCTTCAAGTAACTGAGGTCAAGAAACCTCTCAGGGAAACCATGAGCAAAACATGCCATCTTTCTACCATGGAATTATAAAACACACCCACCTCAATCGTCTGCTTGCCAACATCTTTCTTTGTGGGGGACCCATAGAGATACCCCGTGTCAAAGGGAGTGCGTTGGATGTAGCGTAGCCACCGGGGCAGGTCAGGATGATCCAGAAGATTGGCGTGGAAGGTGATGGGAGAGTCAGGCAGAGGATCATTCGGCGGTTCTGGAAGATTTCAGACCCAGACGGAGCTAAAATTATGCATCTGCCACAATTTGTGCTTCCGCCTCAACAAGAGGACTGGGTGGGCTATGTGTATGTGTGGTGTGGATGATGGATGGAGGGAAGGACAGAAGGACGGATGTTAGCAATGTGACATGGGAAAGGGATCATATTTAAAGGAGAAAAGTGCTGGGTAGGAAGGCTTAACCCTCCCCACCCCAACCCCCACCACTACACACACACACACACACAAAGATACATACATCCAGATCTGGACTGGGCTTTCATTAGAACAAATAAACATGTTAGGATCATTTAAAATAGCATGCCGTTTAGCCCTAAGACTAAGAATATGCAAATGATCCATCACATTTTGCTTCTCATCTTTGCTCCACCTTCCCTTTCCCCCTCTTGTTTTGGTCCTTCCCCTGCCTTGGATGTAACACTGTAAGCTCATTAAGACTGGGAAACATTGTAGATGATGATGATGATGATAATGATGGTGATGGTGATGGTAGGTTGGATTCAGGCTTAGGTCACATTTGGAGGAAATGCATTAAAATCAATGGAACTAAAGCTAATCACAACAAATGCAAGCCCTATTGGCTGTAATGGGTGCATGCAAAATATGTCAAAGTATGAATCCAGCATACTGCTTATGCTATTAGTAATGACGAAAACAAAACAAGAACAAGGCAATATAACGCAGGAGATGCTATAGGCTTTAGCAGGGTTCTGGGGTGGCTTGATAACCCCCACAACAAGCCATCCTGCCCAAGTTCACACATCCTGACAAGCCGTGGCAAACACCCACCACAGGTTGAAAACTCACAGTGGCGACCGTCACACCCCGAGGCACACTGCAGCTTATTTAAGCCCCGGAGGGTGCCAGCGATGGTGTGACCCAGTTTTATGCATAGCAAGGCAAGAACCAACTTGATTCTAGGCCATGGTGGAGGGAGGGAGAGATGGACAGAGAAAAACAGAGGGAGAAACAACCAAATCCCTTACCATTGTTGTCCATGGGGGCAGGAAAAGCATCTTTGAAGCCCTCTCTTTCCAACTCATGAACAAAGATTTCTCCAACTGCAGCAGAAAGGCTGAGGACAGGGAGGGTGTCAGCCAGGCCCCTGCTGAAGAGAAACCCTGGCAGAAAATAAAGGGGACCATGGATTAAGATCAAAATCCCTGTTCCAAGACACAGACTTCCTTCGAGTGAAATCTCCAACTTACGTTGAGCCCATGAATGAAAGCCCTCCACATGTCCCGTCTTTGACAGACAGACTCAGCTCTTCTAAGATCAAGGCTGTGGCTTCTTTTATGGACTCAATCCATCTCTTACTTGGGCGTACCCTTCCCTAACTGAAACTTACAAACTGCTGCCATTCATAATTTTCTGGTTTGGAATATGCATTGTCTAAGCCGTAACACGCAGAAAGCATGCTTCCCCAGGCAAAGAACATTTCCTTTTCCTTGGTGGTTTAATCCTCTGTATGCTGCATTTCAAGAGCCTTGCATTTGTTCTTATCTCTGCTCTTTTATACTGTATTTCTTTTCATTAGTTTCATCAGAACACTCACTTTTTTCCTAAGCTGCCCTGGGAAACTGCTGAAGGAAGGGCTATAAATCCTTTAAATGAAACAAAAAAATGTTATTGCATATTGAACACTCCTTTTCCCAGAAGTTTTTCTCTGGCTCAGAATACAAATGAAATTCTGTGTGTAGCAGCTTTGGTGGCCTTGGAGGGAAAAGAGGAGCAAGGTGGGTGGAACCTCTCAAACACATGGGGTGTTCTCTGAATTAGGCATTTATTGTGAGTTCATAGCTCCTCACTCTTGGTAGTTTGCAGAGCTTTACATGATGGCATCCTCCAAGGCCTGCCTTTTATTTATTTATTTTTTTTACAGCAACGAAATCTGATTATTTTCAGGAAATCACAGGATGAGAAGCTGAGCTATTTTTGCAATTCCATTACACTACAGTGCCACCTTGTGCCTGTGTAATGGAACATACAGAAAGGCAAAAGAGAGAAAAAACAGGAGTAAGAAATACACGTAAAGGGGTCCATAAAAATTTTGAAAACGCAATTCTTGCTGGTTTTCACACTTCCCTTTGTTACCACCAGGAACAGCAGGTATCTTTGAAATTTTCCTCTGTGTGTGTGTATCTGCAGAAACAATTGTTCTTTATTATTTCTGCCATTAGTTATTATCCTTTGAATTTCTGATGGCTTTTCAAATTGTTGTAGGTCCCTCCGGTTGCCAATCCCAGATGAAAAGAAGGCAATGACTCTCATAAACATACACTAACAAAGGAATGTACGTATTATCTGGATGGAGCAGGTAATGTTTCAAAGCTGAAAGCAAACTTCCAGACTGCACACATGTCAAATCACCCTGGGCTTCTTTTCATTGGGAGTACAACCCGTCAAGGTGTAGGCAAAGGGTGACTTGTTCTTGAAGATCTTAAAGCTCTTAGGTTCAATATCAAGCCTCACTTAGTGCAAAGTTAATCAAATACTCTGGGTGCATCAAGGAGACTTGGGTGCAAACAGAGCTGAGCTGAGTCAAAGAAGTTTCTCTCTCTTTTTGGCCTGGGTTTCTTGGGTAGAAAAAGACTTGCATGCTAAGGTGTTCTGCGGTGGTGGTTTCGTTCTGTTAGAGTCCTGGCCTGAAATGCTCTGCCCCCTTGGCCATGGCACTGTTTGTGACTCAATAAAGTTTGGCAAATGCTTCACTTTCTGCATTCTGCCTGCTTTATTCATCCACTTCAGGGCTTTGTTTTATCTGCTCTCTGCCTTCAAAGGAATATTTTAACATCCAAAAGGTGCTAACCTTATAGATTTTTTTTCACACTAGCTTGCTCTATTCCCAGCAGGAGAGGGATTTTTCTTGTCTTTTACCATCTCATCCTTGGGGGGAAATTGTCACTTCCATGCGCCAGCAAGGCCTGTCTGAAATCTCCTTGAGAAACAGATTGTTGGGCCACAGCTTGCCTTTGAAGATCAGCAGATCCAGCACAAGTACCACCCAAGCTGTTGCCTGCTGCTTCCCCAAACCCCTCTGTGAAGGTCTAGCCCAGCCGTCACCCACCTGACTCCCTTGAGATTTCTTAGACTACACCTCCCATCAGGCCTAGCCAGTGTGGCTAATGGTCTGGGAGGATGACTGATGGCATCCAAAGAAGGGCTCAGAGACTCAATTAAACCATTACAGATGGATTGGGGAATGAATATGCAGCCTCCCATGCACTTTCCTTGACAACTCCCACCATCCCTGGACATTGGACATGCATCTGGTGCAACAAAAAAATCTGATCCTCTTTAAAAATGCCACAGATCCCTTTTTCAATTTTCCTTGAACGTATAAAACTACAAGAGAGATTGCTAGGGTGCTGTCGTGGTTGAGAGTATGGGACCGGGACTCAGGAGATCTGGCCTCTAGTCCCCATTCAGCCATGAATCCCACTAGGGGACTTTGAGCCAGTGACTGAGGCTTAGCCTAACCCACCTCACAGGGTTGTTGTTGGGAGGATAAAAAGGAAAAGAGGACTTTGCAAGCCGCTTTGGGTTCCTTACAAGAGGAAGAAAGGCAGTGTATAAATACCAGCGTAATACTACCAAGAATATTTTTCCATGTGGGGGTCTAAGAGCAGATTTGAAGGTGTGGCTTTAGGAGAATGTGTGGGAAAGTAGCACCCCCACAGGGCTGCTCTGATCCCTGTCAGACGCCACCAAAGGTTGCTGACAGGTAAAAAGGAAACTGTCCGATTGTGGCCCTCCCACAACTCTCCCATTTTGGCTCGAAAAGTGCCATCCTCCTGCCTAGCCACGCTTATTGCTTCTTGGCTTTAGGATCCTTCACTTATTGAATACAATTGCCCTCTTATCCCGATGACTGGAGTTCTGTGAATCTCAAAAGCCTACACACGCCTACACCGGCTGAATTCTCTGGCCAAAGAAATATCGCCACCTCCACGGAGAACCCCTCTGTTCTCTCTAGCAAACATGGCAACAGCCGCCTCCACCCAGGCGACGAACAAAAGGGACTACAGCCTGACACTAAAATTAGAAGGTGTCTAGGAGAGGCAGGGAGAAATCAGCCAAAACTTCTGATCTCTAAGAATGGTAGGCATGCTCGCAGGACTAAAAGGAAGGTGCCAAAATAGATGCACGAGGGTGGGAGTACTTGTGGTCTCTCCCTTCTTCGGGGGAGCAAGGGGTTTGTGCTGGGACTTAAAAAACACACAGACAAAAAGTTTGGAATAGCTCTCAGCACCGTGTCTTTCCTGAGCCCCTGCCCATGGCTTCGGGGAGCGGGGCTTGAAACCAGCTTGTGCTCACCTCCCACCTCCAGGTCCTCAAGAGGGTCCTATGGGGGAAATATTGTGAACGTCTCCAGATATAAAAATCTAGGAACAAACTTGCCTGCAAGGAAGCAACTCCCAATGAGGCGCGCTCTTGCCATCTTGCGAGGGGAAATATTTGATTGACAAGGGCAGGCTGGTGCCTGCGTGTGCCTGCGTGTGTGCTGCACAGACAGGGGCTAAAACAAAACGAGTGAGCAGCCCAGTCCCCGGGACTCAGCCCCGTAACTGCCACGAGAGGGCGCCGTGGGCCCGCGGAAAGAGCCGCTGATTCGGCCGGCCAAAGGACAGACGGCTCGAAGCATTGAGTGTAGTTGCGCGGCGGAAGACTTCACCTTAGAAACAGCTTCCATTTAATTATCGTGGATAATACGAGGCGGTGAGGCCGAACAAGTGATAGATACAGACTAGACGATACATATTAGCCCATGATGGGGACTGTGATGGGGAAAAGGCTGGGGAAGATCGCCAAGTCTCTCTGTGGCTGCCGCAGAAACGGAAGTCCTGGGAAGTTTAAGCTGGCGGCTGCCAGCACTAGCTGTAGTGAGGCATCCCTTTGCAGCCCTCGGTGCACACCTTCCAAACAAGGCAAGCGGGGCCGGAGCTGCAGCACCGGAGGGGAGACACCGGCGGGGAGACGAGGGGAGAGTGGACGTTAGTAGCCCCGCATAAGGTACATTTTTTTAATGGAGCAACATTAAAAGAACAAAAAACACAACTCCAGAAGAATTACACAACTTTAAGGTCAACAAAGAAATAGAAAATATGAAAGATTATGCACACCTTGCTTCAATCGTCCATTCTATCAGGGGCTGCAGCCAAGAAATTAGAAGAGAACTGAGACTTGGAAGGGCAGCGATTGAAGGAACTGGGAACCATCATCAAGCATAAGGACATTTCAGTGGAGACTGAGGCCAAGATCACCAGCAGTATTTTATTCCCAATTATTATGCATGGGTGCGAAAGCAGGAGAGTGGTAAGAAAGCATATGCATTTGCAACGCGGTGCTGCAGGAGAGCGTTGCAAATACCCACAACTGACAGAAGGAGGGACGAGTGGGCACTGCATCAGATCAAAGCAGAACTTAACCTGGAAGCGAAACTGATGAAATGGAGGGTGTTGGACTTCGGGCACATCCTGAGCAGGCAAGACTCCGTGGAGAGGACAATCGTGCAAGGAGAGCTGAAGGCAGAAGTAAAGGGGGAAGACCAGCTACGAGGAGGGAAGGTTCCATAAAGGAAGCCTCAGCCTTGAGCTTGCAAGAGCTGCGAAGGGCGGTCAAGGACAGGAAACTTTGGAGGACATGCATTCATAGGTTGCCATAAGTCAGGGACATGTGCGGCAACCGAACAATAGCAAGGCGGAGGCACAAGGACCGGGAGGTGCTTTGGCAGGGGCAGGCAGCCTCTGCTGAAGGTTTCTTCAGCAACAATCACTCCTACTCAGGAAAAACCACACAGCTCCACACATTTATGTAGCCCGTGAGCCCAGGTTGGTCCTTTGGCATTGCCTGACATCCCCAGCCAAGAGGATTATGGGATGGGATGTGACTCTCTCCACAGGAATGACTTGGTGTTTGAGCCATGCACTGCTTGAGGCCAGGTGGGAGGACTCCAAAGAGGATGTTCCACAGTTTTTGCAGCCACTGGGTTCCACGGGAATTGGCCGCTGCAGGCACATGAGAGGGAGACGTGTCCTTCCCCAAACATGCTTTGAATGTGGGCCAGGAAACTCTAGCTAGTTGTGTTTCCCAGCCAGGGTGGCCACTGAACATGTTGTCAGCACAGAGGAAATGGAAGGAAGAGATGGAGAGGCAAGACACCATTTTGCGCATGGCTGCAAATTCCAATGACTTGCAAGTGGAAGAAAGGCAGGGTATAAATCGCATAAAATATGTGTGGGTGCAAATTTGGAAATACTGACTACACAGATGCAAACACAAATAGGATGCATTTCACCACAGGGAGGAAGAGTCTGACTGGACTGCCCGTGCGCCTGCCAGTTCTGTCCGCTCTCCAGGGGCTTAACTGGACACAAGCAGTCTCAGTTCTCCTGCTCTCCCATCGCTGGCTTCCTTACTGCTATATTGGATTTGGATCAGGCATCTCCTCAAATGGAGCAGGGGTGATGAACCTCCTTCAGCTCGAGAGCCAAATTCAATGCTGGAGAAGATCTTGGGGCTGCATTCCACTGGTGGATTGCGCAGAAGGAACAGGGCCAACAAACCACGAACACCAGCATGTTTTAGCATCAGGCTTTTTGTGCCAGTAACTGAGCCGTAGGAGCATCATTTCAATATTCTAGGAGGGGAAAACCCCAAAACAGAAGCTGGAGAAACCGCAAGGACTCTTGGCAGCTAAGGGAAAGGGGGCGGGGCGGTGGAAGGATGGAGCAGGGGAAGGGACTCGGCTTGGATGGAGCATGCTTTTAACTACCCAGCGATCCTCGGTGAGCTCTTCAGAGAGAGGCCTGTAAAAGAGGACTGTCCCATATAAAAAAGACAGACTGGCACCTTTGTATCCCAGCACATGACCCCGAGTGTTTACAAGGGCTGTTCTCCTCCCGCTTTTGCTGTGTTTACAACATCAGTCTGACAGCCACATAAAACGTGGGCAGATTCAGAGTCAGTCTAATGGCAGCCTCCACATGTGTGCTGTGGAAGCAGAGAGAGAGAGAGAGGGAGAGGGAGAGGGAGAGGGAGAGGGAGAGGGAGAGGGAGAGACTCCCATATCCCCCCCCCCCAACTCAGAGCAGCTGGGTCATCCTTGAATTCGTAAGCAGGTCAGAGCACGCAGGAATGTCATTAAGGAAGATCAGAGAACATGCGGGACTGGGGCATATCTCCTTGCAAGACCAAACCCTGGAAAAAGGATAGTGCAGTTTGAAGTGCACGACCACATTCTGCTGGCTGCCATTGCAACATCCAGCAGTTAAGAGAGGGTTACTGGCAAATGCAGCCGAACAAAATTACATGTTGAAAATCAGCAGCACTGCGAGCCTCACAAGGAACAGGGAGAGGAGTGGAAAGATCTGGTTCAAAGCTGGGTCATCCCTGACAATCCAGGACACTGGGGAGAGAGACCTGTGAGAACCCACATCTCTACCTGCTTCTTCTGACTCCGTAAAAGGCTTGTCACGCCTGAGCAGTGGGGACCACGGGGGGTTGCTCTTTCTGCCGCTTGCAACATGGTTAGAACCTGTCCTAGATATGCAGGTGCCCTACCTGGCTTCTGAAAGGATACGCACGAGCCCCGGGATCTTCTGAGAGGTCACCTCTCCGAACTGAAAGGAAAGCTGTGCATGGGAGCAGTCCAGCTCTTCAGGGTTAGTGGTGCTGGGGAAAATCAGCAAATGCTCAGAAGGACTCTTTCCATTTTACTGGCAGAGGCAGTATTCAAGGGAAATCCACCAGGGCTGGAGCCCCAAATTTCTGGGAGGCCATCAGCTCTGCCCCACTGCTGTTCCTACTGTTAAAGGCACAGGGGCCCTGATCACCTCTGTTGCATCCATTCCCTCCAGATTAGCCCCTGCTTCCCCCACCTTGACTCTTTCCACCTGGGCTGTTTCCCCTTTGCTTTCTTTTTTCCCCGGCAATCAAATGCCTATCAAGTTCATGCATCCCTTTTCACAAATGGGCCCTTTAAAGATACCACTCTGTGTCAATCTGCACATGCGCTGAGTGTCTCTTCTGTGCCCCAGCTCCTTTGTGTACCTAGCACCGCCCCCTCACCTTGCCTGACCTTGAGTGAGGACCACAGCGCATCCTACTTCACTGATGTCCTGTCACACAATGCATCCTGAAGCGGTGGGATTCACTGCCGCAGGAAGTTGTGATGGTCACCAACTTGGAAAGCTGTGAGAGGGGACTGGACAAATTCACAAACCCTCTCTCGGAAGCGCTGCCCTGTCCAACTCTGATTTCAAGATAAAGTCCCCTAAAAAGCAGCTGCCCATCCACAGTTTACACCTGGACAGCAAACCTGCTGAGCATCTCTAAATCGTAGCCCTGATTTCCAGTTTCACGTGTGTATATCCATTTCCATGAACACATGCAAATTTTACCCAAATGGGCGCCCTCTTTTTGGGGTGAGGAATTTCCTCTATCTGGACATCTTCTCCTGAGTGGGGTCATCACATGAGGGCAAAACTCCTCATTGGCAGATTCTGGCTCACACAGGTAAGGGGTTTTTTTTTTTTTGCTTCCGCTGTTCCAAAATTTAGGGCCTGCCACGGGCATGCTTCTTTGGGCATGTGCAGAGTGCTTTCCAAAGCATAACAATAACCCTGTCTCCAATATCTGGACATGGGGAGAGACTTTCCAGGACACAAAGAGAAATAAGTAAGCTCTCTTGAGCTCCCGAACCCCTTTTCATCTTAGAAAACAAGTCTTCACTGCCAGCTTTGAAAGAACAAAACTGGAAAATGGGGCATCTACCTGCTGATTGGGGTTTCCCATACAATACTAGAAAGAAGAAAAAAGACAAGGAAGCGAGGCAGGGCGGGTGGGGGGTGTCTCAGCCACTTCAATTATACCGTGCATATGAACCGCTCTCACCCCATTCCCGAGGAAACCGTGGTTTCTCGCACCCATCCCCCAATCCTTTTGCACCTTCCTTTAACACACCACCATCTATATTTAGGTCAGCAAGTCCCTTTCCCATCCCTGAAGGAGGACGGCTACCCTGCCCCAGTGCAGCTAGGGAGAATTCACAGATATCAGTCTGTCTTTACAGGAAGACAGTCTCCGAGAGAACAGTGCAGGTTTCCTTCTGCTGGCGGTGAGCCACTGCATAGCTCTGCCAGCAAGCAAAAACCAAAAATAAACCCAAACAAAGAAGGGGCAACTGCCAGGAATCATGCCAAGGACCTTTGGCCAGCAGAGCAGACTGCTAGTGGGCCACAGATCTGCTCTGCACAGTTCTAAAGGCCTCTGCCCTGTTATATATTTACAACTGGTCCAAAAGAGAAGAAGCAAATGCACAATTAGCTTTAGCAGCCTTGTGTTACTACCGTGCTATAGTGAGATGTGCAAAAAGCAGAACAGGCACTCGCCACGATTCTTGGAGCCAGCCAGCCAGCCAGCCAGGCAGAGTGATCTGCTGAATGACACAAATGTGGGTGTAGGAAAGCTGCAGCAACCCTTTGGATCCAAGTGGCACAGAG